CTGACATCTGACATCACAGGCAGGGCATCAGCTGTTCTCCTTAACCCTCACACCTTGGCCTACGTGACTCATGAGGACATCTGCAGATGCTTTGCTGGTGAGCAGAGCCTGGGTAGGGGGAGATGGGGTAGGGCTAGGCTGAGCCACAGCCCTGAGTATCAGACTCAGTCCCCAAGGAGAGTTCCATTTCTTAAGATAGTCCCTGGGGTCTGCCCAAGGAGGAAGCAGGCAGGGTAAGTCCTCCATGTGAGGGTCACTGGGACTCCATTAGGCCTGCTATATGGAGCGAACCCAAGAATTCTGGGGTGGGTCCCTGGGTTTGCCCCCATCAACATTGACTTCTGGGTTTGTCTTGACAGTAGCACAAGGAAGAGAGTGTATATGTGTTTGTGGGTGACATATGCAGGGGACAGTGGTCCCCACTTCCACCCTGTAGTTAATTCAATTGCATTGTGGATACAAGAGCTATTACCCTGTATCCATTTTGTATTCCTCAGATTGGTTCTGGGAAAGGAACATTTGCCTTGGCCAATACACCATTCCTGGGGAACAGGATTGTTACTTGAAAAGTGAGATGCTCATGGCCAATGATCTTTCACTCCACAAATGTGTTTGAACCCATATTTCCTGGTTACTGACCTGGACTATTAGAGAAGCACTTTAGCTCTGCCCAGTCACTGTGGATATGGTGGAGGTCTGTTCTTTAGTTCCTTAGAGACTGATCTACCTTGCTCCAAGGGGCAGGCACCTCCATTCTCAGCTGACCCATTCTCATTCTAGGAGACACCCTCCTGGCCATCCGTGCCCCATCAGGCACCAGCCTAGAGGTGCCCATCCCAGAGGTGGGTACTCAGCCCAGTCAGGCGGTGTTAACTGAGGGCGGGTGCTGGCTGTGGAGTCTGATAAGTCAAGGGTGGGGTAGGTAAGGGGAGGCCTGGGGTTTGGGGTTATCTAGGAGGATGGGCAGCCTGGTTGTGAGGACACTGTTGCCCTGACCCAGGGTCAAGCAGGAGCTGTGCCTGCTTGTAATTTTACCTGTCCCTATCATCCACCTCTAGGGTCTCAATGGGCAGAAGAAGTACCAGATTCACCTGAAGAGCATGAGTGGCCCCATCGAAGTGCTGCTTGTGAATAAAGAGGCATTGAGTTCGCCACCTGTGGCTGTGCCTGTGCCACCACCTGAGGATCTGCTTCAGAGCCCACCTGCTATTCCTACCCCTCCACCTCTGCCCAAGCCTACCTTAGCTCAGCCCCAGGAAACTTCACGTCCAAGTAGTCCCCAGCTTACCACTCCCATCCATGTTCCTGGCAACACAGAAGTCCCAGGGGTAACGGGTCCAGCAGCTGAAATCACAGGTGAGGCCTAATGGGCAGCTGGTGACGGGGTTATCTTCTGGGGCCTGAGAAGCAATACCTCTGTTGTGGGGTGCCATACTCAAGAATTGGATTAGACTGTCAGGGTTGGTCTTTCCCTGGTCCCCACCTAATCCCCCTTGCCATGGCAGTGAATAAGCTTTTTTAAACAGGGAAGATCTGACAGTGTCTGACCTACTTTGGCAACCCCTCTTGGACCCATGTTGTCCAGGAGTCTTCCTCCTTATAGGACTTGTGCCTCTGTCTCCTTCAATGACTTGTTTCCGGGTTAACTCTTCTGGAGTGACTGGCAGTGCCTAATTCTTGGAAACCAGTCCAGAAGCCAGAACTGTGGTCTTTCTGGCCATGGGTTCTACCCAGCCAATTTCAATGACCCACTTTCTGCCCCCTGTGTGATTGGGTTTGGGAAATGTTGTTTCAGTGAGTGGTGGCTCTGGAACTGACAGCAAGGACAATGGTGAGCTCGGCTCACTCCCTCTAGGCCCAACAGCACTGGACACCCGGCCACTGCAGTCTTCTGCCCTGCTGGACAGCAGTAGTAGTAGCAGCAGCAGCACTAGCAGTTCATCCGGACCCAACCCTTCTACCTCCTTTGACCCCATCAAGGTGGAACCGACAGGTGGTGAGTATTTGTCCCTTCTATACCCACCCCACCTCAGGGGCAGCAGGGAAAGTCTAGCCTTAGCCCAGTACAGGTTGGGTGCAGAATTGGGGCTGGAACCCAGCCCTGCTTTGAACCCCTGTCTGATATCACCACTCTCTGCCAAAAGCAGAGTATCTGGCCTCTGAGTCAGTGCCAGTGCCCTTTTGCCTCCCTCTTGGGCTAACATGGAACTCCCTGGCCTTCTCTTAAGCCCTGCCTGTCACCTCTAAAAGCACCACTGAGTCTCCTACCCCACTGATTGACACTTGCTCCTCCATGTCACCATCCTTTCTTCCTTGTCTCTTCTCTATGTGAACCCCTGGAAAAAGTAATCCCTAGTCTCCTCCTTATCTCGATCTGATCATCATCAGTTGACAGCCAGCAGGGTCCCTGCCCCAGCTGTAGTAGTGCTGCTCTTAATGTGGTCCTGAACCCAGCAGGTTTCTGTAAGGCTGGACTCTGGTGTTCTCTCCTGATGTTATCCCTCTTTGGCTTTAATTATGCCAGTCCTTGCATCTTTCTGTGTATCCCAGTTGCTCTGTTCTGTTTCACACTGTGGAAGGCTCCGGCTATAGGTATAAGAATTCTCTAGCCTCCTCTTAGTGTACAACTTTTGCCTGACCTCCACACTTCTGTGGCATTGACTGTCCTCTTCGTCTCCAGTGAACGCTTCATTTCCACATGTCCTCAATTTAACTCATTTTCCTCCTGAAATTTGCTTTTCCATCTCCATGGGCACTCTACCACTGGCCCTAGTCACTCAGGCTGACTTGACACCTGGGTGTTACTCCAGTTCTTTCTTTGCTGCCCACCCCACATTGCCTAGTGAGGTCTATCTTGAGACATCCTTTTTGCATTCTCAGCACTCAGGGTAACTACTAGCCACCTTAATTCCAAACTTGTTAGCATCCTTCTCTTAATCCTTACTGACAGAATGATCTTTCTGAAATATAAACCTGACTTTGGCATTTCTCTTTTTATAAAAGTACCTTCATGGCTGGGAATATACTTCATTGGTAGTATGCAGGAGTCCCTGTTCAATCCCTAGCACCAAAATGAAAAAAAAGTATCTTCAATGGTTCCCTAAGTCCTTATGGGAAAAAAAAAAAAAAAAATCCAAATTCCTAAACCTGGTTTATGGCATCCTTTTTGGTTCTCTCCAGTTTTATTTTCTTCCCATGTGTATCCTTCCCATATGTAGTAGGGGTCATCACCCTGTAGTATTGTTCCTTGTCAAAGTGTCTACCTCCTCCAGGTGACCCCACCTAAGGTGTAGCCTCTGAATTAGAAAGGTTATACCAGTCATTTGCAATGGGTCTGGTACCCTGGGCTCAGTACTGGGAAATTCAGGTGTAGCAGAAGAGACCAGAAAATAATACCAGCTTGGCCTGGGTTGGAGCCTACATATACTTAGCTATGTGGAGCCCTGGGTAGGTGAAGTAGGATCTGAGGAACATGGGACCTCTATTGTGACCAGGCTGGATCTCTACCTTGAACATGGCTTTTTTATTTTTATTTTTTGGTACCAGGGATTGAACCTGGGGCACTTTATCACTGAGCTAAATTCCCAGCCTTTTTTTTTTTTTTTTTTAATTTTTTTTTTGGTTATATGTTTTATTTAGAGCTAGGGTCTCACTGATTGCTTAGAGCCTCGATAAGTTGCTGAGGTTGGCTTTGAACTTGCCATCCTCCTGCCTCAGCCTCCTGAGCCGCTAGAATTATAGGTGTGCACCACTGTGCCCAGCTCAACCATGACTTTCTTGTCTTTCAGTTTTGGAACTCCCCAAAGAGCTGTCAGAAATCTTTGACCCGACACGAGGTAGGCTGCATTCCTTCTGGTGTTGGGGATGAGGAATGTAATTCATTGCATGTCACAGCTGTTGTTTGTCCCTTTTGAGGACCTTTTGGTTGTGGTTGGTACTCAGGACAAAGGGTGAAATCTCCTGATTGGGGTTAGGGGAATCTATTTCATGGATTTTGATGAGTGAAGTGGTATAGCTAGAATGTCACTGTGTTCTCTCTATTTTCAGAGTGTATGAGCTCAGAGCTGCTGGAGGAGCTGATGTCCTCAGAAGGTGGGTGGTATGGAGAGGTGGGGCCTCAGAAAGTGGATGGCTGTGGGCAGGAGCTTGGGTGGCTATTGGATGGGGCTTTGGCACAGGGCCTTAGCCTAGTGCTCTCTGCAGTGTTTGCCCCCCTACTTCGTCTCTCTCCACCCCCTGGAGACCACGATTACATCTACAACCTGGACGAGAGTGAAGGTGTCTGTGATCTCTTTGACGTGCCTGTTCTCAACCTCTGACAGGGATATACGCCGAATGGCTGGAACCCAGACTGTCTGAGTTGGGGGCTGCCTGGGGACTTTCCCCCACCCTGCCCTTAAAAGGCTTGAGAGCCACAGACTCCTGGCTTCCCCAGCCTTCCCACACTGCAGTTCTGGCCACACCTCCCACTCGTGTACTGGCGCTTGTACTGTGCTAGTAGAGCAAGGGAAAGGGGCTCAGCCCTCTCCATCACGGAGCCAAAGTGTTTGCCTCTTCTTTTCTGGAGCCTCCCCCATCCCAGGCTCAGCTGCTACCCAGTGGCACTGACCTGTCATTGTCCCCATAGGGCACCTTGTCCAGCACACTGCCCTGCTCCTGCCAGCCCCTCTCCCCAAAAAGAGGGAAAGGCAGGATGGAGCTGGGTACTTGCCAGCCACTACTCTAGCTTCCTTAATTACCTACTTACCCCAAGCTTCTCCTGGACCTCTCATGTGCCCCCCCCCCACTTCTGCTGGGCCCTGAGCCCAGGGAACCTGCAGGTGGCAGTGGTGGGTGGGTGGGGTGCTAACAAGAAGGAACTGAGGTCTTTAGCTAGAAATCCCTGCAGGTCAGTCCCTGAGGCTTGATTCCCCCGTAGCTCCCCTTCATTTCCATTTATTCATTTACCCTCATTTAGAGCCATTTGCAGAGATTTAGAAAGATTTACAGTAACGAATGGATTCCTATATAAAGATTATTTTTATACTTTTTGCAGCAAAAGGAAATTGTAATATTTGTACAGTGTCCAAATGAATAAAGACCATGCCTAAGGCTATCTCTGATCTGATTTTTTTGGGCCCCTCTCTGGGACTACGTTGGATTGGTGGCAGGATTGCGTTGGGTCACTTTGCTGGAATGGGAAGTGGAGCAGCAGCAGGCAGCCTGCCCTCCCCGCCCCCACCTGCCACACCTTGGCGTGGGGCGGGGCTGTCTTGCTGGGGCAGGCAGGCTGGGCGGGCGCTGGCCTACCCTCCTGCCCCCGGACTCCAACCCGGAACTAGCCTTGGCTCCCTTGGGAAGGCCGCGGCTTCTGGCCAGGAGTGGGGGCCTGGTCGGTGAGTACGTGCCACCGGAGCCAGGTCGCGGACAGAGGGACGCCCTACTCGTCCTCAGGGACTCCGGGGCAGGTGCGCCCTCAGCAGGAGGTGGCACATTTCGTGGAAAGTGCAGGCACCCACGGCTGGGTTGGACCATGGCGCCCCCACGGAATGTGGTGAAGATTGCTGTCCAGATGCGTGACGCCATCCCACAGCTCATCCAACTGGACCAGGTCATCCGGCCTGTCCGGCCTCCTGCCCACTGCCCACCTCTGGGGTCACCCATTTCCCTCGGGTCAGCTCAGCCCTCCTTATTCAGCCCCCCATCCCCCAACTCCTCCCCACTCCCACCACGTGAATGACAGCTCCACTTGCAGGCAAAACCCCTGGCCGCTGTGTTGAAGGAGGTGTGCGACGCGTGAGTCCCGGTGGGCCGGCAAGGGGTGGGGGAGGGGTAAGCGGGAGGAAGCCTCCAACCTGCCTCCCTGAGCTCTGTGACCCGCAGGTGGAGCCTGACTCACTCGGAGCAGTACGCCCTGCAGTTTGCTGATGGGCACAGGAGATACATCACTGAGAATGTTAGTCCCCCTGTTCCCCAGCCCCCTTGCTCCACCCTATGACCTCTCTAACCCACCTGGCCCTGATTCTGCAGACTCATCCTCCCCCTCTCCTAAAGTGAATTTCACTGATCCCCTAATCCTGACAACCCAGTTGATCACCCTCAGAACTCTCCTTGACTGTGCTTCCCCTTTCTGCTGTTTTCTGCAGAACCGCGGAGAGATCAAGAATGGCAGCATCCTGTGCCTCAGTACTGCCCCAGTAATGCCCCTCTTGGCCCCATCTTCTCTTGCCTGCCTCTCTACTGCACTCCTTTAAAGTGCCTGGTGGCCTCTGCCCTAGGTCTGGCCCCAGCTCAGCAGTGCCCCACCTAGTGGAAATCTGGGTTCCCACTCTTCCAGTCCTTAATTTTCCAAACTCCACCTCTTCTCTCTTCCCACTCCTGCCAGGACCTTGAGGCTGAGAAGCTGTTGGGTGGGCTGCAGAGTCCAAGTCGAGAAGTGCGCCAGGAAGCCCTGAGGCACCTGGTTCTGCTGGCCACAGACATGACCTTTGCCCAGGAGGTCATCAGCCGTGATGGGCTTCAGAGACTAGGCACCATCATTGAGGATGGGGACGAGTGAGCACAGGGCTGTGGAGGGATGGAGACATGATAGGGCTTAGGGGGCCTGGTCTGGTCCTGCTCAGCCCCAAATGTGCCCCCTACCCCAGCCTAGGAGAGGTGCTAGCCCTCGGGCTGAAGGCCTTCCTGGAGCTTATGGAGCATGGTGTGGTGTCCTGGGAGACGCTCAGCATCCCTTTTGTCAGGAAGGTGGGTGGGCTTTTCTAGGGGATGTGGGTAGGGCAGTTGGGCAGTGCCAGGGTCTGCCCCTTGTGGTGGTCAGGTGGCGACAATACCCTACCCCTCTTACAGGTGGTATGCTATGTGAACATGAACCTGATGGATGCTTCTGTGCAGCCCCTGGCCCTTCGGCTGCTGGAGAGTGTGACCTTGAGCAGCCCTGCCCTGGGCCAGCTGGTCAAGAGTGAGGTGCCACTGGATAGGCTACTGGTGCACCTGCAGGTGTAAGCTCTGGGGTGAGATATAGATGGGGGAGCAGGATGAGATCCTGGGTGTTAAGCTGAGCCCACCCCTCCTCCTGCTATAGGATGAACCAGCAGCTGCAAACCAAGGCAATGGCCCTGCTTACAGCCTTGCTGCAGGGAGCCAACCCTACAGAAAGGAAGGTATCTATCTATATAGTAGCAGCTTGGAAGGATCAGCTGGTGGGCATTGTGCTCCACCCCAGTATTAAATCATTTAATTCCCCTTCCCATCCGCCTCAGCACATGCTTGACTACCTATGGCAGAGAAACCTTCGCCAGTTCATCTACAAGGTAGGAAACTAGGGAAACCCCTCCCCAGCCTCTTCTCCCAGTAAGCCCACCTCAAACCCTTTGTCTGTCTTTCCTCCAGAACATCATCCATAGTGCAACACCACTGGGTGATGAGATGGCCCATCACTTGTATGTGCTGCAGGCCCTTACACTGGGGCTGCTAGAGCCACGCATGCGGACACCACTTGACCCCTATAGCCAGGTGTGTCTTGGAGATGGGTGGGGCACAGCTTGAAGCTTGGGGATAGCTTGAAGCTTGACCTTAAATCTATGATATTGTTCCCCCCAATAATGACCCCAGGAGCAGCGGGAACAGCTGCAGGCCCTGCGCCAGGCTGCCTTTGAACTGGAAGGGGAGTCCTTGAGCACGGGGCTGAGTGCTGACCGTCGACGTTCACTCTGTGCCCGAGAATTTCGCAAATTGGGCTTCTCTGTGAGTGACCCCTACCCCAAGTCCCCACCTTGGCCTCCATTCAGGCTATGACTATACCAGAGGCTATGGCCCTTTCTGAGTGCATGTGCTCCCACCCGTAGAACAGCAACCCTGCGCAGGACCTGGAACGTGTGCCCCCAGGCTTGCTGGCCCTGGACAACATGCTGTACTTCTCCAGACATGCACCCAGTGCATACAGCCGGGTCAGTTACTGGGTAGGGGAGTGGGGATGGCAGTAGCCTCACCTTGGCAGGATCCCTGTGGGCTTAGCCAAGACTGTCCCCATTCTCTGCTCCCACTACCGCAGTTCGTGTTGGAAAACAGCAGCCGGGAGGACAAACATGAGTGTCCCTTTGCCCGGAGCAGCATCCAGCTGACTGTGCTACTGTGTGAGCTGCTCCGTGTTGGGGAACCTTGTGAGTGGAGCTGGGCAGTGTATCTGGGGACAGGGGACGGAAGGGCAGAGAGGGCCAGGGGCTGCACACACCTTCTCCCTGAGCCCCTCCTGCCCCCCCGCTCCAGGCTCCGAGACAGCCCAGGACTTCTCGCCCATGTTCTTCGGACAGGACCAGAGTTTTCATGAGTTTTTCTGTGTGGCCATCCAGCTGCTAAATAAGACCTGGAAAGAGATGAGGGCAACACAGGAAGATTTTGACAAGGTCGGTGGGGTGGGGTGGGAGGACTGGGAGGTCAACGAAGGAGATTGCTCTGAGGAGGGCCCCAGAGCTCAGGTCCCAAGCTGAGCTTAGGGTGGCCCCAGGTTATGCAGGTGGTACGGGAACAGCTGGCTCGTACACTGGCCCTGAAGCCTACGTCCCTGGAGCTCTTCCGTACCAAGGTGAACGCACTCACCTACGGGGAGGTGCTGCGGCTGAGGCAGACAGAGCGACTGCACCAGGAGGGCACACTGGCCCCTCCCATACTGTGAGTTGGTAGGAATGGCTTTCCAGTGCCAGCTCCCACCTACTAAGGTGCCCTAGGTCAATCCTGATCTGTGACTCCCCACTTCCCACCCAGAGAGCTGAGGGAGAAGCTGAAGCCAGAGCTCATGAGCTTGATCCGCCAGCAGCGTTTGCTCCGCCTCTGCGAGGGGACTCTCTTCCGCAAGATCAGCAGCAGGAGGCGCCAGGGTCTCTGAGTGTGCTGAGGAGAGGCAGAGGGTAGCTGGGTTGGACTCAGGGCCCCCTCTCATCATTCCTTCCTTCCCTCTTCCTTATTCTCTGCACAGACAAGCTGTGGTTCTGCTGCTTGTCCCCAAACCACAAGGTGCTGCAGTATGGGGATGTAGAGGAAGGTACCAACCCACCCACCCCAGAGAGCCTGCCCGAGCAGAGTAAGCAGCCAGGGGTCTAATACCTGCTCTCTCCAGATGCCCCATGCCCTGGGGCTGTCTGGGGCCCCAGTGATCAGCCCAGTATTTCTTCTTGCAGTCCCTGTTGTTGACATCAGGGCACTCCTGACAGGCAAGGACTGCCCCCATGTCCGGGAGAAGGGCTCTGGGAAGCAGAACAAGGTATATATAGTGGGACCAGTGGCTTCCTCTTGCCTGCCTGCGCTAGTCCATGCTCAATGTCCCTGCTTTCTGCTTCCCTAGGATCTTTATGAGCTGGCTTTCTCCATCAGCTATGACCGCGGGGAGGAGGAGGCATACCTCAACTTCATTGCCCCCTCCAAACATGATGTGAGTGTCTGGGTGAGGCTGAGTGGAGCAGACGGGTAGGGGAGCAGATTGAACAGTCTCTCATGAAGCTGGCCCCATCGTCCCCAGTACTATCTGTGGACAGATGGGCTGAATGCCCTGCTAGGCAGCCCTATGGGCAGTGAGCAGACCCGGCTGGACCTGGAGCAGCTGTTGACAATGGAGACCAAGCTGCGATTGTTGGAGCTAGAGAATGTGCCCATCCCGGAGCAGCCACCACCTGTGCCTCCACCCCCCACCAACTTCAATTTCTGCTATGACTGCAGCATTATTGAATCTTGACAAGCTGGCCAGGGGCCACAGCTGCCACCCGTGCCAGCCACAAGGGGTGGAGGGTAGAGAAGCATGGGCAAAAATAAAGTCAGCTTGGCTCTTAGGTGTGTGTCAAGCTAGCTCTGAACCTTGTAGGCTAAACCACGAGAGTCATCCTCTGACTTCAAATTTAGTGAATGAGATACGACAACAAGGTAGGACTGCAAACTTGAGCAGCTACATTTAGGGGGTTTGGATAGGTTGGGGCTGTTGCCCTTCTCCCAGATGAGTGTGGGCCTGCAAAGAGAGTAGCTTGTTGTCTAGGATCACCAGCTAGCTGAGAGAAGTAGCAGGCCAGGAGACAATGCCCTAAATGGATGTTTCCTGGAAAGCATTAATAGGACCCTAGTCTAGAAGCTCTGCTTCCAGAAAGCTCCTGACAATCTTACCTCAGTCTTCATCCCTGCTTGGCTCTGGCCCATGTTCTTTGTGGCACCTGGAGGCCTCTGGTGACAGGTAGTAAAGGGACAGATGTAAAACTGGGCCTGCTTTCTGCTGAAGGACAAGCTCAGATTCCAAAGGGCATCCCCAGGCTTGAGGGAGTATATGGGCTGATCTGGACAAGAGGGAACTCTGTGCAGGAAGCACTGCACAGTTCTGATGAAAACATAACTTAGGAGCATGAGTGACATGGGGGCTGTATGTAGGTGAGAGATGTTGGGCAGATGAGGCAAAGTGTGTTGGGCCCAGCTGGAGTCTGTGGCCACAGCCTCCAAGCCACTGAGGCAGAGTAGAGCATAGCAGCCCATGGGACCCACAGGGCAGGCTGAAAGCTACCACCATCCTGACTTCCTTCTCCATGCCACTCATTATTTCTCCTTCCCAGTGTCTCCTCAAAGATTGTGTTTAACAGTGTTAACCATCAGTGTTTCACCTTGAAAGCAGATGAAATGGCATCTCCTATGGAGAACATGCTGGGGGAACATTTGCCCCCCTAAGTTACACTTTTGATCCTTGGGTAGCCAGGATGCCCATGCCTAGATTCAGAGATTTCCACCATGCTTAAAACAGTTTGCTCTTGAGTTCAAGTTGGAAATGGGAGGACAGGGATTCCAGATGTGGTTAGTCTTCCAATACTGCCAATTCTTCTTTCTCAATGTTTCTACTCCCTTGTCCATGCCACCATCAGGCAATAACCTACTGACTACCAGCCTCTAGTCTTGTTCTTTCAGTCTTCTCAATACCTGCTACTACAGATGTTTTCTTGAATCAGATTTGAACACACACACACACACACACACACAGGTGCACACACTTTATATTCTTCAGTGTTTCTCTATTATTCGTGGGCTAATAGTCAAGAGTGGGCACTAATATGTAGTTTTTAGGTAGTTTTTAGCCCTTCCAAATGAATGCTTGTGGCCTGCAGGGTTCTTGGAGCTTGGTCCAAGCTGACATTTTCCCTGAACACCATCAGGGCCTATGTGTACTCTCTGTCATTGTGGAACCTCAAAGTCCCTTCTGCCCATTTCTGTCTTGATTCTTTCCTTGACCCTCCAGGTCAAGTTCATTGCTTCCCTAGGCTTGTGGTTCCAGGTGCTTCTTTCTCTGTTTATACATACCCTGTACACTGGACTGTCCATGTTGGCTTTTTGCCTCCCTAAGGCCTGGGCACTGGGAGAGCTTTGGCATCTCTGAAAACCCACATGAAGCACAATGCCTGTAGGCATTTGCCTGTAGGCATTTGAAGAGCATTTGCCAGCTGCTCCTAGAACTGATAAGAAGATAGATGGACAAAGTATGGGGACACATGGAGGGTCAGCTTGACAGATGTTTTTCAGAGCTGCTGTTGAGAAGTCACTGGTACTATTTAGGTGGTTAAACTAGATGACCTTTAATTCAGAGATGCTGTCCTATTTCTTTCCCTTCTTTCCACCACTTTTCAAGATGGCCTCACTGAATCAGGCATCATCATCAATTGCTCCAAGGGCTTGGCCTGGCACAATGCGTTTGCTTTAAGGCAAACCTAAGAAGGTTGTGCTGGGAAAAGCCTTTAGGCCTCTGGACTTTCCTACCAGGTAGGGAAGAAGCTAGGACCTGGTTGAGTTCAGCCAGTATGGATCAGCCTTGAGGTCACTAAAAGGGTGTCTGTAAGGCTTTGGGTCAACTGAGTAGGGAGGGAAAGGGCCCTTTCATCTGAAAACTTCAGGCAAGAAGTAAAATCTTAAGTTTTTAATCTTGTTTGGATTTACAGCAAAGTTGGTGGCTTGGCTGCTGCAGTGCTTATAGGTACTGGAAAAATATGCCTAGGGAGCAGGTGGAGCACATGCTCTAGGTCTGAGAAATCGGGGAGGGAGCAGAAGGTACACGTGCACCCTCTGTCCTTGTGGAACCTCAAAATCCCTTCTGCCTGTGGGGAGCTGCTCCCCAGCTCCATGCTCAGTCTGCCTGTGGGCTGGCCTCCTGGCAGGGACAACAGAACCCTGTGGCAGCAACATGTAGCTGGCATTCCCATGGGCCCAAGGAAAGTGAAATGTAGTTGGAAAGCCACTGCTGCTTGACTGTGGGGCAGGAAGTCTCTTGGGATGCCCTGGGTTGGTCCCATCACCACACCTAGATAGGAAGTCTATAGCAAAAGGAGGTAAGAGGCACTGGGGCATAATCGAGGTCCAGGAGCCCAGGTTAGGACTATGGGGATGAAGAAGGCTGTGTTACAGGGATGGTTACTGACCTGGCCTCAGAGTGTTAGGGTCAGGTCAGCCCCTCCCACGAAGCAGGACTGGACACAAGTCACCTGAGGCAGCTGAGCTTGGAAGCGCCTGACAGCTGCCACGTTGATACCCGGGCACATGGCCACGTCCAATACCCGGATCTGCTTGCATGCTTGCCTAATGGTATCCAGAGTTCTGTGGGGAGACTACCAGATGAGTGCTTGATGCAGCATGGGGTCCCAGCCCAGCCATTGCACCTGGCTCCATCTGCTCAGCATCATAATACACACTCACTGCTCTGTGAGTTGACTGCAGCTGGACAGGTTGAGGTGCTGCAGCCTTGGCCAGTACCCTGCTGCCTGGGCCCAGCCCTCATCGCTGATGTGGCTGCAATGACTCAGCACCAAGTGTTCCAAGCTGGGGCAGCCTCTGGCCACTGCCACCAAGCCCATGTCTGTGAGTGCTGGCAATAGGCTCAGTGACAACTGCCTCAGCTGGGGGAACTGCAGTACCTGCAAGGATAGGGTAGATGGAGCATGATATTGGAGCCCAGAAACCTTCCAGTTTCTCTGCCTTTAGTAAAGGGAGTAGCCAGAAGCCTAGGAGAAAGAAACTCCAAGGAACTTTTTTCCAAAATGTGAGTTGGCCCAGTTCCCTGCCTCCAGCCCCAGGATCCCCAGCCTGTCCACACCTTGGCCAAACTGGCATCAGTCAGCTTGCTGCAGGCTGTCAGGTCCAACTCCTGCAGGGCCTGCAGTGTGAGCAGGGATGAACTCTGTGGCTTGGGAGAAGCATCCTCAGGACCTGAGGCCTGATACTCCAGCTCTGGGCATAGCTGTGAGGAGAAATCTCTGCTTCTCAGGTTCTTCCTGAGTTTGCCCTTAAATAATCTTAGAGGGAGGGGCAGGAAAGTAGCTGAGTTCACAGACCATCCCACCCTTCCTGACTTTGAGGGCCTCATACCTGGGGACACATTGCAGACTTTTCACTTGATTCTTCCAGCCCCAGAAGCCCCCAATCACGGAGCTCCTTGCACCAAGCCAGGCGCAGAACAGAGAGGTGGGTGTGGTAGGTGCAGATGGCCTGCAGGGTCCGATTGGAGAGGGCCACACAGGAGGACAAGTCTAGCACTCTAAGGCTTGGGCCCAGTGCTGGGATCAGAGAAAGCATTGAGGCATCCTAGGAGGAAGTGAGGGAGGAGAGCACAGAGGAGCAGCTTGTTCCAGTGCCACCAGGCTTGGTGGGGTCATCAGCAAGGGCCTGCCCTAGGTTCTTACCCACTAGCAATAGGGAGCTGCCAGAAGGTCCTAAGAAAGAAGTAACATGGTTCCTATGTTGGATTGAAAGTTTGGAAATGGACAGGGTAGATTGTCAGGGTGGGAGATTTAGAGGGGGTTGCTAAAGGACAAAATGATTGGGGCAGGAAGGAAGCAGATGGAAATTTCTAAGGCAGCTACCCAGTTTGTTCTCCCTGCCCTTTCTGAAGGGGTGAGCTGAGACAGCACTCTGACCATAGCTCATTGGGTCAGGGGTGGACAGCTGACCCTCACTGAGCCAATCAGATATGCTACCGCTAGAATTTGAACCAGAACTGTGGGGTTGAAGTGGGGGATAGAGTGTCAGCTGCCAGAAGTCTGGTGGCATGTGAGATGATGGGCCAGATCACTTGTGGTGTCTTGGACCTCACTCTGCCTGGGCCCCAAATGGGCTCTGGGGAGGCATGCCAGCAGCACTGTCCACCTAGGCTCTTGTCTTCTTGCAGACTATGACCCAAATTCAACTTGAACTACTACTCTTTGGACATAAACACTGGGTAGTTCCTCCCTGGGGCCAGAGACCCAGCTCCCCAAGCCCCACCCTAGGAGGAAGGGGGGCATGGTATGCTCACCTTCAGCGAAGAGCAGTATGCCAGCCTGAGGGAGGTCAGTGGGGGTGGAGCTCCACTCACCGAGCCCAGGGCCTGGGCCAGTTCCCGCCCGCTCACCAGGCAGCACTCAGTCATATCCAGGCTCTGCAACTCTCGCAGGTCCCCTAGGGCTGTACACCCTGCATCTGTCAGCCGTTGCAGCTTTCCCAGGCTGAGGTGCTGCAGGTGCTGCAGGCCACGGCTCACGGCCAAGAGTGCCCCATCAGTCAGTTCTGAGCAGCCACTGAGGTCCAGGGAGATAAGACCTGGTTGCTGGCGGCACAGGGTGGCCACAGCCTCTGTGGAAAGGTCCCGGCAGCTGTGCAGGCTCAGCTCCTGAAGCTGCAGCCCAGCTACCTGGCCCAGGGAATGTAGGGCCTCAGGTGGTAAGCCAGTGCCACTCAGATCTAGGGCACGCAATTTGCCAGCTCGCTCTTTCACAAATCGCAGCAGGTTATGAAAGGAGAGTTGGGAGGGAGAGTAGTCTTGGGGGTTGATGGAACCCTGAGCTGGGCTCAGCTCAAAATTGAGGTGGCAATAGGCCAAGGAGAGGCGCTCCAGGCTGGGGACACAGCTGCTGAGCTGGTTGAAGCTGAGATCGGCCAGGTTCCGCAGGCAAGCCAGCTTGAGCTCGCGCAGGCCACTCAATGCCTGCCGGACACGCTGGGCCATCTCTGGCTGAGCCAATAGTGTGCCTGATGTGAAGAGGCTGTTGCAGCCACTGAGGTCAAGGGTGCGCAGAGCTGGGCATCCCAGGACCAGGGCCACAAAGGAAGCCTCGGTGGGACTGCCCCCACCCAGGCACAAGCTCTGCAGGTGTGGGCCTAGGTGGTAGGCAACAGACTGCAGCACCAGGTGCGAGGTTGGTGAGCCATCCAGGTTGGTCAGGCTGATGCAGGAGATGCCCCTGAGGCCCAAACTCTTGATGGCCAAAAGGGAGGCAGAAGACACTGGGATGTTGTACCGCACATTTGTCTAAAGGGCAGAAGCAGGCCTGGGATTAGCCCTCTGACCAGAAGTTGATGACAGGTCAGGAAGGGCCTTTCCACAGTGAGGACCTACCATGGTATAGGGTCATGTGTGGCTGAGGGGAGTGTGGGTGGGGAGTGTGGGTAGGAAGTGGGAGCTGGGAAGGTATGTCCTGCTGGGGTTTGAAGATGACCACCAAGGGCAGGCCTGAAAAGCTGGTGAAGGACAGAGCTAGATGCTGAGGGAGGGGAAGGAACAGAATGGGGAATTGGCATGCTGAGCACAGGAGGGCCGTGATATGACCTGGAAGGAAGTCCAGTGAAACTACACAGGGTAGAAGAACAAAATATGCTGGTCCCTAACCTTTGGTACCTCAGAAGGAAGCCCGAGATTCATGGACCCAGCCTCCTACTCCAAGAACTGTATTAGCTAAGCAACCAGCTTCCCCATGACCCCTTTTTAGAGACCATATAAAGAGCCTCAAGAACAGCTGAAGACAGGAAGAAGTGGGCAGTACTCACTTAGGCACATGAATGTTTGTATTATTATTATTATTATTTTAGTACTAGGGATTGAACTCAGGGCCTCATGCATGCTAGGCAAGCACTCCAACACTGAACTACTACACCCCTAGTTCCCCTCCCACTTTTATTTCAGTAAAATAGGTAGGGATGCTATACCACTAAGCTACATTCCCAGTTCTTTTCATTTTTTAATTTTGAGACCAGATCTCACTAAGTTGCCAAGGCTAGTCTCAAACTTGCAAACCTCCTGTGTCAGCCTCCCAAAGTGTTGGGATTACAGGAATATGCCATTGCACCCAGCTTTAAAAAAAAAATTTTTTTTAATTGAACCCAAGAGTGCTGAGTCATGTCCCCAGCCCTTTTTATTTTTTATTTTTAGAGGGTCTATTTATTTAAGAGCTAAATTGCTTAGGGCCTCCCTAAGTTCTTGAGTCTGGCCTTGAATTTGTGATCCTCCTGCCTCAAGCTCCAGGATTATAGGTGTGCACCACCAGCTAATATTTTGAAACAGGGTTTAAGTTGTCCAAGCTGGTCTCAAACCTTCAATCCTCCTGCCTAAGTCTCCAATTAGCTGATATTACAGGTATGCATTTCTACCACCCAACAACAACAAAAAGGGTTTTGTGTGTGTGTCTGTGTATGTGCACGCACGCACACACACACAGGCACAAACTAACATAGGTAAGATTGCCTGGAATTGGGCCCTGAAGAATCTCTGTGGCACAACTCTAGAACACACATCTATCTCTCCAGGTGAGGAAGGATAAGCCTCCCATTTTGTGGGGGCTGGATTTAATAATTTAACAAGTCTCAAAGGTACCAACGAAGTTGAATTGGCTCTGCCACAGAGAAGCAGGGAAGAGAGAATGAGGAATGCATAGTTGGACTAGGGTGGGACCCAAGACATGAGCCCAGGCTAAGTGGTAAGAATAAGTTGGCTTGAATAGGAGTTTGGGAGCCTCTGGCTAAGGGAGAGTCTTTCATGAACCTTCCCTGACCTTGTGCCAGAGGGAGCCAAGGGGAAGCCAATACAATTTGTGTGGAATAGGTCTGTGGAGAAGAGAGGGAGGGGAAGGAACAGAGTGGGGAATTGGCTTAGCTTTTAAAATTCTAGCCCTGTTACTCTACCTCTTGCCCAGGTTTCAGGCACACAGAATTCAAAGAAGGCTCTTAAGTGTGAAATATGATGTCAAGAACTATGTAATGTTTTGAACAACAACAATAAAAATTAAAAAAAAAAAGAAGGCTCTTGTTTTAGCATCAACAAGGTCCTAATACAGGAGAGCTAGCTCCTCAAAATACCTACCTTTTCAGTAACTATAAAAACAAGCCTTTGTCCCCTGGTTGTACCCCACAGAACAGCACCAAAGGAGATGAGAAAGGCAGAAGTGACACTGGATGGGCTCTTGCAAAACCTTATTGATAGGACTCTCCCAGGAAGCATGGAACCCATTCCTAAGTGGGTTCTGCCCCAGGTGGAGGCAGCTGCCCAAGGCTACAGTGGTAGGAAGGAACATGCATAGAGATGAGTACTAGTTCCTGGTTTCTCTCATAGTAGATTGGCTAGGTTCTCCTTCCAGACCATACTTCCAAATCATGGTCCTTCCTGGTGAAAGGAGCACTCACCACAGATCCCCTTATGGTGGGAGGATAGTGGGGACTCCCAAGGGCCTGGGTCTCTTTTTCAGATTTAAGGAGAACTGGAGAAGATTCCAGTGTGTGAGGCTAGGGAAGGAGATGAAAAGATCATAGAGAGAAGTTTGTAGAAAAGAAAGGAAAATTATGCCTCCAGCCACTGCCTAACCCTACATGAGATGAGTCAGTCTGAGGCTGAATAAACTAGGGCTAGGGGAGCTAGGAGCAGCTAGGTGGCTCAGCCAGCACCTGCCCCACCACTCACATATGACTGAGAAGCCCAGATCCCTGCAGGCCCCCAGAAGACACAAGTGCTCAGCCTCTTTCCCCTCCTTAGAGCCTGAGCAGCCAGTAAAGTATCCTTTCCCACTACCTCCCTATGAACAAGGTAGACAGACAGCCAAGGAAGGGCACTGGCAGTCATCCCAGGGCTAGGCCACACCTGCTGCTGGCAGCAAAAACCCACCCCCAAAATAGGCAGGGCATGGCCTGAGGACTTCCAGTTATTAGGAAGGAGGCTTATGACTAACTGTGGTCCCATTCTGTTTTCATTGGTAGGGTGGGGGCAGCCTCTAAGCCTTCACCCAGAGGTCTATCCTGCTCCTGAGGTCAGCTGGACTTTAAGTGTGGAAGCCCAGGAAGATGCTTCTAGAAGTCAGAGGGGAGACTGCAAGGGCACCTGCTCCAGCTTCAGCCACCCCACACAGAGAGGTCAACTGGGGCAGGAAAGGACAGTGGAAGGCAGAAACTGAGCTGTTTTTCATTCTTGCTCCACAGTGATCAACTCAGTAGCAGCAATCAGGGTTCCCCAGGGCATGGGCAGGGCCTGGGTGTGTGTGGGCTGCTACGCTTGCCTGCAGTGAGACAAACTGGAAGTAAGTGAACAGTGGGTCAGGTCAAGGGGAATAAGAAGTCACTAAATTCAGCATTCTATCCTGGCCTGGTAGACACAGGCCCTGGCCTGGCCTTGGTAGGCCAGTGTCTTCCACAACACAGTAGCTGGGGCACTGCCTTCTTATCAACCTGCCTACACCTGGGCTCTGAAAGAAGATTCCTGTCCACGGGGTTCTGCAGATTCTTTTCTGGAATATGGTAGTGCTGAGGTATGGGCAGGGCCCTGGATGCCTAGGTGTCTGTGGCCTGACCTCCCAGTGCTCCCAGCCCAGTGGGACTGAGCTTTGCAGAGGTATCAAATAAATCTTTTTGTGGTGTGGGGTGCCAGGGCACTCTATCACTGACCCACACCCCCAGCCCTACTTTGTTTTTTATTAAGAGACAGCATCTCACTGAGTTGCTTAGTGCCTCACTTTTGCTGAGGCTGGCTTTGAACCCACGATCCTGCTGCCTCAGCCTCCAGAGCCACTGAGATTACAGGCGTGCACCACTGCATTTGGCCCAAATAAATCTTAATCAACATTTTGGAGGTTCTAGTTAGCTGGAGCAGCCCTATGCTATATTGGTGGACTCCAGGATTCCAGCTGCTGACCCTAGCTTCCTTCTCTCTTCCTCCCTGCTCCTCCTCCACTTCATCTATACCCAAGGGCTTGACTGCCCCCTCTGCCTCCTCTGCCCTCTTCTCCTTTACTGGCCTCTATGAGTCTTACCCCTCCACTGCTCCTCTTCAGGGCTTACCGCCTTGCCTCCCTCACACTACTGTCCTTTGGGTTGTAGTCAACCCCCTTCTTTTGGTCTGCTAAGTTATTCCCACCTTCACTTATGCCTTTCTACTGCTCCTTCCTCAGAACCCACAAATAAGAACAGTCTTAAATCACACAAGCTCCTTTTATCCTCTCCTCACTTCTATTTCTCCATTTGTAGTCAAGCCCTTGGAGGCACAAGGGCACACCCACATCTGTATCTGGCCATCTAGTTCTCCCTTGCCTCATTCATGAACTCTTTACCACAGCCCCCACACAGTCACCCATTCCTGGCAACAGCTTCCCTCCAGCAAGATCACCAACAATCCTGGAGTTCCTTCTCGGTGTCCTCTTTGCCATGCCATCTGGTATGGGTGGTCAGGAGCCATTCCCCTTGACACTACTTCCTGGTGGGGGTTCTGAGACTGCCTTCCTGGCTCTCCTGTAACTTTCCAGCCTGCTTCTGCTTTGGGGGTCTCTTCTCACCAAAGAGAGACCCAGTCTAGTCCATATCCATATCACCCTGAATATGCCTGATCTTGGATGTTAGTTAGTACCTGGATGGCAGACCCAGTCCACAGATTAGTGAGTTCCTTCTAGTTTGTCACCTGAAAGCACGCATGTGTCATGGACATGCAGGTGTATCAGTGGCACATGTATGTCAGAGGATACACAATCTTTGTCCTCTTCTGTGTGCCCCTGGGCATAATATACTTCACCCCATGGGGCAATCTTTCTAACTACTTTCTTTCTGATCTGCATCATTTTCCTGAATCCCAGGCCCTAGGAGCCAACTGCTTTGTGGACTTCGCTCTAGATAACCCCAGAGTTACTTATAGATAACATGCCCAAATCTGAATTTACCACTGTATCCCCAACTCTCCTCTTCCACCTTTTTTTTTTTTTTTGGTGCTAGGGATTGAACTCAAGGGCATTTTACTAAAAGCTACATTACCAGTTCTTTTTTATTTTGAAACGGTCTGGCTAAGTTGCTGAGAGTCTAGCTGCTGGGGCTGGCCTCTAGAGTCACTGGGATTATAAGTGTGTGCCACTGTGCCAGGCTATTCTTTTCAAATTATTATTATTTTGTTATTGTTGACATTATTATTACTACTATTATTATTGGTACTGGGTATTGAACCCAGGAGTGCTTTACCGCTGAGCTACATCCCCAGTCCTTTTTTTAACAACTTGAGACAAGATCTTGCTAAGCTGCTGTGACTGACCTCAAACTTGTGATCCTCCTTTCTCAGCCTCCCCAGTTGCCAGGATTACAGGTATGAGCTACTGCTAATCCTCCTCCTAAATTGTTACCTCCCTGTACTAAGGTACCCTCACCTCTCACATCCATAATGATTAAAGTCACCTCCATTCCATTTATTTGACATATTGAGGTATGTTTTTCTGCTCCAATCTCACTGCTTCTGCCTTAGTTCGGGTTCCCTTATTGTCTGTTAGGAATATGTCACGGAAGCTTTCTTCTCACCACAGTTCTAGCCTCTAGTGTCTCTGACTCTAAAACCATCTTTGATCTTTTCACCAAGATGACCCCTACCAAAAAGCAAATCTGACTGTGCTCTTCAAACCTTCTGCCAGGTCCCCCCATCCACAGGAGAGGCTAAGCTTCCTAGCTGTCATTCAAACCCTTCTGTATCAGAAGGCAGCCTAACTCAGCCCACCTCTCCGCATGTCCACTCTCCTTTTCTCCTAGCCCAGCTCTGGGAATTCCCACTTCTGACCACTGTCTTACCCTGCCATGCTTCCAGTCAGCTACTTTGTGTTTTGATGGGTCTCACCCCTCACCTACTCCTATTTGTCTATTTGGCAAATATTTATTCCTCTTTCTCTTTTTGTGGTGCTGGGAGTTGAATTCAGGTCATCCCAGGTGCCAGGCAAGTACTCTATACCCCCAGCTCTATCCCCACCTTGAGTTCCAGGCTGAGTGTCTTCTTCTCCATGAATTCTTTTCTGGATCTTTTCTCTGCATCCCCCATTTGCCTTGCACAGACTCCAAATGCAACACCCTAGTCCCTTTTTGCTTGTGTTTTTCTCCCCCTCCCAAACTCCAGAGCACCACATCTTCCTCACTTCTGCCTCCTCAGTGACCAGTACAGTGCTTGACATGAACAGAAACATGTGAGTGAGTCTCTGATAATTTTCAGTCTTCCTTTTGCCCTGTGACTATTCTAAAGTCCTTTGCTGAGGCCCTGGCCTCTATCTCTCTTTTCACTATCTTATGACAATTTGGCCCCAAAACTCATCAAGCCAAGTGGCCACTAAGGAACTAGATGCTTCTGAGAACTTCCTCCATCCCCATGGCTCTGCTTCCTCAGGAAGGGGTGGCATCTCTGCCTCTTAAGCAAGACCAAGCCTAGTGCACTGAAGCCTATCCCTGCTACCACGTGAGGTGGCATCCACTATTCCTAATCTCTCTCCTGCCTATATACATCCCTCCTCTGTGGACTTTCTCCCTCATTTGACACATTTGACATTTCTCCTAATCAAAATTACTTTGTCAAGTCCATCTCAACCTCTTGTTTCTGCCCACTTTATTTCCTTTCTTCCAAGGGGAAGTTTCTTACAAATGAGGTCACTCTCCATCTACACTTCCTTTCTTTTCTCATTCATTCTTCAGCTTGCCTGGCTTTTCCTCCCCACTAGATACTAAATATTGCTGAAATCACTGGTAGTCCCTTGGTTATCAAATGTTATGGACACTATTTTTAAAAAATTTTCTGAACTCTTTATGGCATTTGACACCACTAATCATCCACCTGATCCTTTAAAGCTCTCCTGTCTTGGACTCTATGCCCTCCTCTTTGGAATCTCCTCAGTCACTTCAATAGAGATGTCTCTTCCTTGCTGTGCCTTGGACTGGCATCCTCCCGCTGGGGCATTTGCTATGGCCTGCCTGCTGTTCTCTGGCTCTTCATGTTTTCCCTGGGGGAGGTTACTCAGATCTGTGGTTTCATTTCTATCCATTTAAAAATTTTCGTTTTGCTGAAAATAGAACCCAGGATCTCACAAATACTAAGTAAGTGTGTTCCACCACTGAGCTACACCCCCAGATCCATACATTCTTTCTTTTTTTTTTTTTTTTTTTGGTACCGGGGATTGAACCCTGGGGTGCCTTACCACTGAGCCACATCCCCAGCCCTTTTTATTTTTTATTTTGAGACAGGGTCTCTTTAAGATGTTTAGGGCCTTGCTAAGTTGCTGAGGCTGGCCTTAAACTAGTGATCTTCCACGCCTCTCAAGTCACTGGAATTACAGACATGAGCCACTACACCCAGCCCCTATCCAATTCTTTAATGACACCCAATTCTATACTCATTACCCAGACCTTTCTCTTAAATTCCTCACTCAGAACTACTAACTGGATTGCACTATCTAAATATCTCATACTTTAATTTTTCAATAAGTCGAAAGTCAGATACCCTCAGATACTAAAATCACTGATATTGGATAGAAAATTTGACAACAGACCCTACTTTAATACATACATTTTGTTATGTGACAGGTGAGTTCCAACCTAAGAAGGGGAAGATGGTGTTGGGGCTATTTGAAAATTAATCAGTTTAGCTTCTTATAACATAAATGAAAATAAATTTTACCAATAAGAATTCAAACCATAAAACAGAAGAAATAATCTGCTGTCAACATAAAGCTGCTCTAAGAAATAATGTCTATTTTGAGAAAAAGAAGAAAAATGAGGTCATATTTATCAGATCTCAGAGGAGGCAAGGGATCTTTATGTTTAAACAACAATGGAAGAAATAAAAAGAAAAGCAATGTTGAGAAACAACAACACAGAAACTTATTTCTGCATCTCTTAAATAAAAACATATATCTACCAATCAAAATAAAAGGCAAACATATTAGAAATATATTTCAATAAATATATAAGGAATTAATCTCTTTAATGTATAAGAAGTTCATACAAATGGGTAAGAAAAATACTAAGACCCTAGCAGTTAAAAGGATGAAGAACATGAATAAACAAACAAACAAAAAAAAAAGAGGGAAATACAAATGGTAAGCTAATGAGAAAAACTGTTCAACCTCACTGATCATAAAAGAAATCAGTGCCAAGAGCTATTATTGTTTGCCTTTCAAACTAGTAAGAGGTCTGCATTTACCTCCTGGCGAGGCTGCCTCCTTACTTTCAAGCTTGCCCTCTCCAGTCCAACTGTACTGCAGAGCTTCTAACATACAGTCACAAACTGTCACTCGCTTGCCTTAACATTCCTTAAAGGGCTCAAGATGGTAATCAGGAGAAAACCCAACTCTGCTGTCTGGCACATCTGTCAGCTTACAGTCTGCCTCCGTTTTAGTCTCATCTCCCATATGTATCTCAGTTCCAATTACATGGAACTTGTGTGGTCATTTCCAGGACTATTCCACATCTTGGTGTCTCTATCTGTGCTGTTATTGGTCCGAGAAAACCAACCTTCATCTTCACCCTATTCCTCAAGGAGGCCTTCCCTGGAATTACTGGTCAACCTCATTTGCATATCCTTCTTCAGGTCCCTTTTGCACCCTTCCATGCCAGGGCCACAACACTGTGCACATGATATCATGATCATTCATGCTACTTGTCTTTCTCCTGCATGGGACTATGAGCTCCTTAGAAAACTATCTTATTCATCTGTATAACCCCAGTCCTAAGCCCAGTATGCATGGACGTATGAGTACATCAGAATGGATGGATGGATGGATAGATGACATATGAACAGGACTGTGAGCAAGCTGAAGTGACAGACAACTGAGAATGGGTCAGGTGGGTGGGTACCTTACCTCCCGAAGGGCATTCTGGGCTGCACAGTACCAAGCCCGACTCACGAGAGAGGCCTCTTTCTGATCTGACAGAGGAAGGAAGCTCAGAATATACGTGAGCATCTGAGGGAAAAAGACAGGGCATTGGGGCTGTTAGAGCTGGGGGGTCCTTTGGAACCTACTCCAGCTGATAGCACAGTGGATTCATTTTGGATCTGAAGTTTCACAGAGTATTCACTTCCCCTCTCCAACTTCCAGGCATCTTCACTGTGAGTAAAACTTTCCTGAGCCCTCTCTGGATGCACACTTATACTAACTGCTAAAAATCAAACTTCCTGCCCAGTTTAATAGAAAAAGCCTGGGATATTGGGGCCATATAAACCTAGTTTCAAATCCCTAATCTGTTAATGATCTCTCTGATCCTTGTTTTCTTTATCTATAAAATGGCAATGTAATGAGACTTAAATGGGTTTCTGTGAGAATTAAGTAACAGCACAGTGTCTTGCATAGATCTGGAACACGGCAAGTCAAATATCTTCCTTTGATTCTCTGAAGCCCCACTTCCTCCTCCTGCCCTCACAAGTTCAGCTCTGAGACCCTCACTCTTTCCAAATTCTCCAATGCCAACTTGCCTTCTTAACCGGCTATTAAGAAATGATCCCAGCAAGACCCACCCTGGGAGCTTCTGGCTCTCCTTCTATCTATACTCTATGAGGCTGGGGTGGTGAGGTTGGATGCTCTAAAGGGGACTGGAAATGGGTCACTTGTGAGGCTAAGAACAATTTATTAGCTGTTTTTTTCCTTCTCAAATCTTCCTTTCTTGAGACCTGTAACATTGTTTTCTAGGCCTCAGCCCAGCATTCTTTTTGGCCTGCTTCTGGATTCTTCTGTGACTCCCAGGCCTCACACTTGGGTCTTTTGATCTTCAGTTTACTCATACATAAACAACCAACAAGAACCTCATATTGTCCTACGTACCAAGTGCAAGTCCAGTATTGCCAACTATCTTCCCAAATGACTCACCATCACCTTAATTGATATTTTGCCTTCAGTCCAACTTTCCCCTTTAATGCCAATAGTGCACCCCATCTGAAGGTCCTGGTAACACTCTGGACTCATGTTCTTCTAACCCTTATTTCAAAATACAAGTATAAAATAGAGGCTTTAGGAAACACTAACCAAGACTCATTCAAATCCCAGCTCCATTACTTCCTAGCTGTGTCTCTTCAGGCAGTGTACTTGACCTCTCTGAACTTCAGTTTCTGTATGTATGAAACAGACATTAAAAAAAATCTAGATCATAGTCTTATAGGGACTAGATGATCCATAAATGGTTGCTGGATTACTGTTACTAATATTTCTACCTTTACAACTTTACCACTATAGCAGCTAAGATCTTCATCACTACAGACCTGGATTCCTTCCACAATCTTGACCTTACCTTCAAGTTCAACTTTGCTAATCCCTTCTGTACTGTCACAAGGTTAACTGTCCTAAACAAAACAAAACCTGTTTCCTGTTTCAGCATACTCCTGATGGAAACCTTCAGGGTTATTCAGTCCTCTCAGGAAAAAATCTCCACTCCTGAGGCAGAACTGCCAGGTCTCCATGCCTGATCTGGTCCACTGGTCCCAGAGCTTCCCTGATCCATCCTTTCTACAGCCCTACAAACACAGCATGTCTTGTGGGCCTCTTTCTTGGGTTGTCATTCCTTAAGCTTGATTTCACTACTCCACTCTGATTTCTCCTTCCCTTCTCAGATGCTGAACATATATGAGATGCTCTGTCAATACTTACAGGATTATAGTAAGGATAGGCAGTCCTCTACCTCTATTTTCCAAAGATTTGCTCAGGGAAGGGATAGGGAGATAAAACAGATGATTACTGAGAATGACTTTGAAGTACAGCCTGGGTTAGGGAGGGGAAGCATGGGGAAGACAGTACTGACAGGGACTGGGAATGACCAAGCTCCTATACTTAGGGGGAAGCAGGGAAGCTGCTGAGCTAAGATAGTGGCCATCCTGTCTCCTAAGCTAAACAGCTAGCAGCTAACTCCAGGAGCAAAGGGAGGGGAGAAAAATTGATCATGGGAGTGGAAGACATGATTAATTAAGTTTAGAAAGGTGGTCTTTATAGAGAGACTAGAGAATGGGATGAATCCCATCCCAAGGGGCTACTAGACATACCAAGCAGCTTCTAGAGATACAACGGAAAATCCACGGGATCTATGGGCAAAAATGGATATCCTCTGGGGCCAAGGAAGAAATGGATACAGCTGCAGAATACTCATTGAACTGGGAGCAGGCCTATTTTTGCTGAGAGGGAGCACTCCAGCAGTGATGGGAAAGAGTAGCCAGTTTCCTATGGGTGGTGGGAGGGGGATGCAATCTTCAGGGCAAAAGGGATGGAGAGGCCATTCCAAGATACCACTGGCACTGGAGACAAAACCTGTTATCTTCTGGCCAAGGAAGGCAGAAGGCAGAGTGGTCTTGCCCCTGACTAAGAAGAAGCAAACAGCCCATGGTGTGAAAGAGGTAGGGGCGCCATCACTATGGGACTAGGGGCCGGGTAGCAGGCCTGTATTTGCTAAAGAACCTCAGCGACCATTCCCAGAATTGATGGGGAGGGAATAGTCTGTTTCCCACTGCCCGGGAGAGCGGACGAAGGAAGTGGAGTGAGCAACCCAAGGGGCCAACGGGGATAAGATCGGTTACCCTTCAGGGACGATGGAATGGAGCAGACATCTTCCAGAACTGAGGGGGAGGGGACGGCAATCTGAAACGAAGGGAATGGGCAGAAATCTGTCCTCGCTAAGGTGACAGAGCAGGCATCTCCTGGGGCTGATTGGGAAGGAGAGGACGGTTCCCCAAGCTAAGGGGATAGAGTGGCCCAAAAGTGGGGCCGTTACCCAGAGCTTGCAGGTCCTGGGATCCACCGGGCGGGTCGTTTCCGCCAGGCGGAAGGCGCAAGGCGAGCTTACTGACAGTCCCTCCCCAAAGCTCGGGACCCCAAGGGCGGGGCCTGTCCGGAGCTAGGCCGGGGGGCGGCTTCTTCTCACCTCCAGGGGCAGCGACTCCGCCATCGCATCCCTGCCGCCTCCGCCCCCGCGCAAGACTTTCTGGGAAATGTAGTTCCGTTAGTTCTGGGGGCGGGACTTGGGAAAGGAAGTGAGTCCTACTTCCGTCCATGATCTGACGATTTTGGTCTGCACCGGAAGTGCAAGCGTTGCCGATGTGGTACCCACTGGTTTGGTTCGCTCGCCCTTGTTTCCCTGCCTGGGTATTTGCGTTGCACCATGGCGGTAAGGAGGACGGGTAGGGCGGGGTCCACATGGGCAAATCTCTCCCGCGGCCTGGAGAATGAAAATAGAGGGACATCAAGGGATGCGGGACGGGCCAGAGGAGGGCGCTATCCAATGAGTGGACTATACTAGAGTGAGCGGGGTGTTGAAGGGAGACAGAGATGGCGGCGCAGGACCACACCAAAACTAGTACCAGAGGGGGTGTGTTATTTCGCCATTATTTTCACATCTGCAATCCAGTAGAAGCCCGAGAGAGGTACCATATAACCCCACTCAAGAGTGCCCTCGAGGTGCTGTCAGCCCAAAGCTGGACCTTGCTGGGGGAGCTGGAGAAGGCATAAGCCTAGCGTTCGATTGTTCAGGACCAGCAGGAAGCAATCGAAGCTGGGGATGCTGTAAAGATGGTGTCACCTCTAGACAGTATGGACTGGAGGAGGAGTGGACATCCTAGGGACCTTGGGGACCTGGCTGAGATGCAGATGGGACACTGTAGCTAACCAGGGTGGGGGAGGAAGTGAGGGGCTGAGAAGAGCTCTGACGGCATCTCATATTTCCTCTGCAGCCCAAGGGCAAAGTGGGCACCAGAGGGAAGAAGCAGATATTTGAAGAGAACAGAGAGACCCTAAAGTTCTATCTGAGGATCATACTGGGGGCCAACGTAAGTATCTGCCTTTCTTCTCAACGTAGCTCCGCAGTACTCGGCTCTGGTGAGGAGTGGTGGTGACAGCTAAGGCTCCAAAGAAGTACATTCAAAAAGAAATGAGAGGGGACTGGGGAGTGTAGCTCAGTGGTAGAATCTTTGTCTAGCCATGCATCTGGTTCTGCTCATAGCCTGACCTAGTTCTTAGGTACAGTTGTGGGAGGCCCATGGTTTGAAGCATCTTTTGACCCCAGCCTGATCCTGTTTGTTTGTAGGCCATTTACTGCCTTGTGACCTTGGTTGTCTTCTACTCATCTGCCTCATTTTGGGCCTGGGTAAGTATCTTCATCCTGGAAAGTGGATGAGTGCATAGGTCCAGTGGTTGGTTTTGATATCCCTATTCTCGCTCTGCAGATGGCCCTTGGCTTTAGTTTGGCAGTATATGGGGCCAGCTACCACTCTATGAGCTCGATGGCTCGGGCAGCCTTCTCTGAAGATGGGGCCTTGATGGATGGTGGCATGGACCTCAACATGGAACAGGGCATGGCAGAGTGAGTGTCCCCCACCGCCAGCCCAGGTGAGCGGCCCCAGGGCTGGGGCACTGGGGCCCAGAGAACCTAAGGCTCACAGCTATCTGCAACTTGAAGAAAGTGCAAGGAAAACAAAATGGGGCCCATTTACTGTCTTTGGCAACCTCCCTTCTATCCACAGGCACCTTAAGGATGTGATCCTGCTGACAGCTATTGTGCAGGTTCTGAGCTGCTTCTCCCTCTATATCTGGTCCTTTTGGCTTCTGGTATGTGGGCTTGAGGGTTTCCTTAAAAAAGGCATCTAACCCTCCCTATCCTTCATTTTTTGCACCCAACTTCAAGTTATCTTTTCTTTTAGGCTCCAGGCCGGGCCCTTTATCTCTTATGGGTGAATGTGCTGGGACCCTGGTTCACAGCAGACAGTGGCACCCCAGCACCGGAGCACAACGAGAAACGGCAGCGCCGACAGGAGCGGCGGCAGATGAAGCGGCTATAGCCATTGAAATTGTGGCCATAGGCTCCTGGGCACTGGGTTGCATGGCCTCAGTGCCTGGAGCAATGAGAGCCTAGTCCAGGCCAAAAGCAGCCTGAGGTATAGAATTGTTGAATAAATGTCTTAGAATGTGGCTAATGGGTATGTGTGTGTTAATAAGGAACAAAGCAGGAAGAACTAGTCGTATGGTATTTCCCTCTTGCTACAGGCTCAGCTTGGGGAGACATTGAAAGGAAAAAGGCTCTGGAATTAGCTCCGAAAACTTTATTTTGCGGCAAGTAGGGAGCTCACACATGAGCCCATGCGTGCATGCGCGTACACGTGTACACACACACACACACACACACACACACACACACACACACCTAATACTGCTTAAGGTACTGGTCAGTCCCTGGACACTGGGTTCTGAGACCAGAATTTTGCTTTGGGTTCTCCTTGCTCTGTAGTCTCTTATGCTGCAGGCTGGGATCCAGCTAGATTTCCTGAGGCAGCACCTTCACACTTCCAGGCCAGGAGTCTTGCTCAGACCCAGTGCCTGCACCAGGTCATCTCCAAGTCCACTCTTCAGTGTTCGTCTCACTGTAGGGACAGAGTAGGGTTGGAGGGGGATGATGGGGTTCGGGCAAGCAGTGGACTTATGGTGGGTACTCACAAGATTTACGGTTGCCACGGGAACGCTTCCTTTCTCGAGCTGTAGCTGCTCGGGGATTGCTCTTGGTCACTGATTGCACTAGCAAGTCCATGATTTCATCTGATGTGTCACTGGGTAAACTGGAGCCTGGGGATTCTTCAGAGGGTGCAGTGGAAGGTCCCACTGCTGGCGGCATGACTGGGGAGCTGCTCTGGACTATACCTGTGGGAGACCAGATAGGGAGGTCAGGTCAAGGTGGCCTTATTACCCATTCCCCACAGCAGCTATAGGTCTACCTCTGCTGCGGCGGCTATGTGTGGTGTCCTCCGGCCTGCTGGTCAACAGACTTTTCATACTGGCATGACTGTCAGCATCACCCTGTCCTGGTCCACTCCCCACAGCCATTGGGACAGGTGGATTGTTGGGGGTTTCCCCTGCCACACCTGAGAACTTCTCTGTCTGAGGATGGGAAAAGGATGAGCTGAGAGTAGGGGAAAGAAACCAAGGGGTGGCAGTCAAGACTCAGAAGGGTAACTACCTCAGTGATCATGCGTCCTCGGGTCTTGTTGCGCTCACGGTAAGTGGCTCGCTTCTTCTGCTGCTGCAGTACTCGTTCACGGCAAGTCCTATACTCCAGGGCAAATTCCCGCAGCGTGTGGCAGAATTGCATGATGCGCACTTCACGGGCCGCTTGTGCAGTGTAGCCCAGGTAGAGCAGGAAGGCATGAAACCTAGGCAGGTTGGAGTGGGGGAGGGATGGACAGTCCTGCTTGCCCTTTGAGAGATGGTGGTGGCAATCTTGCTTCTTTGGGGGCCCATACCCCTACCTGTTGTTTACACGGCGGTGCACTACCCTCAGTGTGGCAACACGGCGGGCACAGTGGGCCAAAAAGTGGGTGAGACGAGCACGCAGGGCTGGAGCCAGTTCATGTTTAGCCAAGCTCCTCAGGTTTTCCTCAGCTGCCCGGCTCCGGCGCTCCAGCTGTCCCAGGTTCTCAGTCAGTTGCTCAAAGTCCACCTGGAAAAGCAAGTGGGTACATGAGCTGTTACCCCAAAGGTAACAGGTTGCCTGAGGCTGCCTCTGCCAGACTGGCCATTGTGGGCCTAGGGACACAACTAACATTTGGCTTCTGCTCTCCAAAAGTTCAATTTAATATATGAGACAAGTCCATTTGATGCAACAGAGACAGAAGGCTTCTTGGAGGAAGTGGCAGCTGAACTGAGACTCAAAAGACTGAGTAGGTGTGTCCTGGCCAAGAGAGGCAGAGCATAGTTCACACACCTGTAGCTGGAGCACACCCTAGCACAGCCCAAATAGGGAAAAGGGGGAGGAGCCAACCCAAGGAAGAAATGCTTGCTTGTGCCCCAGCCCATTTTAACTGAATCTTTTGCTGGTGCTAACCTTGGCACAGCGGGTCAGGGCAGGGATTTCTGAGTAGAGATCCGAGGAATCAGGTAGGGTCTGGAGTACCAGGGAGCAGAGATGGTACAGCAGCGACTGCCGGCGCACCGTGTCCTTCACTTCAGACACCTTCTCCAAGTAGCTCAGCTCAAAACCACTGCTCTGAAAGACTCCATTTGAGCCAGGGCCTGGCTGGCTCCAGAGCCCTGACCTCTAATCCTCTGTGCTCTCACTTACCTGGGAACCATTGAGGAAGTTGCCCACAGCCAGCAGGGTAGCCAGGATACAGCGGAAGGTGGCATTCTGCACCAGCTGTTCCATTCCCATTTTCAGGTCAAATAGTGGCTCTGCAATTTCCTGGTGTAGGAGAACCAAGGGCTTTAGACTCATGGTCATCATGCTTACCTATCCCCACTACCTGTCCCATTTTATGACCCAGATACCCGTTCCATGCTGTCATAGTCCAGCTTGAAGGCCCAAAGTTGTAGGCGGGCAGCCAGGCCCCCAATAGAGGCAAGAGTCATTAGGAAATTCTCAGCTGGGCCCAGGGGTATATCAGGGTTGGCCAGCTGGGCTTCTTCAATCTTCTGCCTCTCCTCCTCCGTGGGCATCATGGTCAGTAGCTTCTGAGGATGCAATCACCGCCCCACAGTGTTAGCTTGAGGCCTCATGCTCCTTTAGTCATCTCTCACTCCTCCTTTAGTCATTTCCCAGGGTCTGGCAAATGCCCTGCAGATATGTTAAGCCCATCCCTACCACCAGAGGGACTGGAAATGTCAGTAAGATGGCCAGATCTCCCACCTCCCTTTCACATCCATTGGGTATCCCCACCTCAATGCCATCCTTGCTGACAGCAAACTCATCAAAATTGAGCAAGGCGGCCTTAATGACATGCACAGGTGGCAAAGTGGTTAGGCCAATGTTGATAGCGTTGCTGCGCTTGGGGTCCAGCACTGTGGTCATTGTCCGGCGGCCCTCACCAGCTTTCTACAAGATGGGGGGAAGAGCAGTGAAAGATTGGGGAAAGGACTAGCTGGGGCAGCAAAGTTGAGAGCACTCCAAGGTATTCCTCTGAATGGCTTAATGATCCTACAAATGGGAACCCAGGACACATAAAACATTGGGATAAGCTGAGATTCTAGTTAGGGCTCTATCAATACTTTATTAAGACAGCCCAAGACAAGTTCTTTTCCTCTCTTTATCCTGGTTTCCTCATGTGGGAGATGAGGGACTATTTCAGCCCCTTGAACTCTGATTTTCCCCATCTCTGGTATATTTACCTTGGAGGGAAGTACATCCTTGGCTCGAGATTCAAACAAGTGTTCCAGCCGGGCTGTGTCCACTGTGATAGGCTCCAGGGAGGCCCACAGGGTGGTGCAGGGCCCAAAGCGGCTTCCAGACTTCCCATGATCCCCAGCCAGCTTTAGCTCCCGCCAGAAGAGTTTTACAGTCTTCCTCTTGGTGGGGAGGGCTGGGCCGTCGGGTGCTGAGCGGGGAAGTGGTGGGCAGAAGGATGGAGGTGGGGGAGGAGGATGTGGGGGGCCTCCAGAGTACAGGGGAAGTGGAGGGGGAGGAGGTGGGGAGCCTCCAGAGTGCAGGGGAAGTGGGGGAGGTGGGGGTGGAGCCCCTTTCCCGGCCTCCACAGATTCTACATTTAATATGTCCTGGTCTTCATCCTCCCCCAGATCTGAGAAGTCCAGGTCCCCAATGCAGAGCTTTGGTGTACGAGTTGGGAGCTCCTGGATGGGCTCAGCCTTGGGGCTTGGTGGCACCAGTGGTTCCTTAGGCTCCAGCTCAAGGCTCCGCTGGGCCTGGAGCAGGACTCGAGGGACAGGGCTCTGGGGTGTTCTGGGTGCAGGGATTGGCTCTGAGGAGTCCCATAGTTCCCGGATGCCTAGAAAAAGAAGTGGCTCTTGGCATCTTGCCCTCTATGCACAATAAGGGTGGGATTCTGGATTCTGCCCACCTGTCTACTCACCTGGGGGTCCATCAGCCTCATCTGGTGTGGCCCCAGCCAGTGTTTCTGCCCGGCCCTGGGCCAATGCAGCCTGCTTCTCTGTTTCTGCTGCTGCCACACCTTCCAGGAACCGGGCTCTGAGAGGAGATACTTGTCAGTGATGGTGTCTGACACAAGTGCATCCCAGGGTGATATACATGCCTTGCTGAGCTCCTGGACACTGCCCCCAATTGCAGGCACACACAGGCACAGGGAATAGTCCATGCGCTGAGCAGACCCCTGTCCCCTCAAGGCAAGCCCCTTTTCAACTCTCCACATCTGAGGAGTTAGTAGTGCCGACCCAACATTCCTATGTCAAAGTACAGGGAAAAGCTCTACTTAACATCTAACTTGCAACTTTCTTGTTCACTATCCTGACTTTATAAGGAACTTTTGAGCAGAAGGGAATGGCTATCCCTCCTTTGGCCTGTCTGGCAGCTTCTGAGCCCTACAGCCTGCCTGCCTGCAGAAAGGGTAGGCACTTAAGTTTATGCTATCCAATGTTTCCTTTCTGGCCCCTCCAGCCTCTGTTGGTCCCTGTCACTGCCCTTCCCACAGCATTAGGTTGCTCCACTACCCACATACCACACGGCACCCTAGATGCCCTCCTTGTCCTGTTCCTGAGCTGGGTATCCCTATCCCCATTTCTGGTCTAAGCTATTAAAATTTCACTATTGAAGCACAGGGACTACTCTGACCCCAGTGAACTGCTTTCCCACTGCTTGCTCTTTGGGTTACTATGGAGGCATTAATCTGGTGGCAGGAGCAGGGTCTGAGAAACCCCCAGTTCTGGCTGCTAGAGGGCATGTGGAACCCCTGCTGGGGAAGCAATGCTGAAGCCCTGAGCACATGGCAGGCCTGGCAGGTTGGCCTCTGTACTTACTCCAGCCTGGCCTGCCCAGTAGGGGACTGGGGGACGGGTGGGCTCTCAGGGGCCCTGGGTAGGGGGATGAGAGGAAGAAATGGTAATTGTGGTGCTGGTTCCACCTCAAGGCCCATTTGCTGGCACTTACACAGAGGTTGGGCAGTGATATTGGGAGGAAGAGGAAGGAGTGGAGGAGGTAGGACATGAGGACACTGGAAGGGGAGGGGAAAGACTGACATGAAGCAGGACAGGGTGCAGGAGAGTCGAAGAGCCAAACAAGACTGACAGAGAAACAGAAAGAAAGGGAGTAGGGAGACAAAACAAGAGGCAAAAACAGGTGGAATGTCGGAAGGAGATAAAGAGAAGCCACAGGAGGAGGTCCAGACAGAGCCGAACCCCACACCCAGCAGTCACTTACCAAACAGGAGCAGTTTGGTGAAGTCTGGAAAGAAAGAGAGAAAGCACGCGTTTGGGCAGAGGAGGCTGAGGGCCCGTGGAGGGGCACAAAGTGGAGGGACAGTTGGAGATAGGGCTCTGGGAGCCACCTCTATCTTCCTACTTACTTGTAGATGCTCCTCTCACAGGAGTTGCCCGCTGAGGGCGCCACGGAAATGGCAGGAAAAAGGTTCACCAAGGTACCAAGCCCAGAGGCAAGGCCCACAGGGCTGGAGGCAGGGCTTATCAGCTGGGCAGGACTGGTGGAAGAGGCGGAGCCTATCGGCGAGGCGGAGCCTGTGGGGCTTCAGGTCGGGCCTGTGAGCAGATTGGGTCACGCCTGGCAGACTCACCCCTCCCCAGCTACCAAGGCGCGTACTTACCCAGGTTCTGGGGCGCGCACAGGACAGCCTCCCCCTTCCAGAGATCGGCGGCTCCTCTTGCCCTCCTCTGAAGAGGGCTTTCGCCGCTCCCGCCGACCACCTGCAGCTGCAGTGGCTGCTGCTTCCTCCAAGTCTCCATCTTCCAATCGTAGGGCGCTCTAGCAGAGGTAGGCCAGGGCGTGAGCCTGTGGTTGAAGCCCCGGAGGCATATTGGGGAACTGCACCTCTCCCTCCCATTTTCCTACTCTGGGCTCACCTCATAGAGCATAAGCTGAGTGCGCAGGTCGACATCAGTGCCCGCAGTGCCCAAGTGGCGCTGTACCAGTGCCTCCATGCCCTGCTGCTCCAGTGCATCTGTCATGTCGTAGAAGGAGTCCTGATCTGGGAGCGCAGCCAGTGTCTGGAGAATAGGGATAGAAAGCCAAGGCAGAGGCTGGTGGGGACTACAGGTCAGCAGCCCCAGGGCCCCATAGTTAGCACCTAATCCCCACCCACACCTTATTGATGAGGGTGACAGTATACACCAACAGCTCAGGATCAGCACCATTCTTCTCTTCCAGGATAGTCACCAGATTAGCCCAGGGAAGAGCACCTGCCACACAGAAAGGGGAGAAGTCATGGGGGGCAGGGAGCAGGCAGGAGAGAGGGCTCAGAGTAGAGGCAGAGGAAGGGACAGACTCTGACCGGTGGCGCTGGCCACAGAGTTGACTGCCTGGATGAAAAGCGGTGCGTTGTTTTCAGAGTATTCCACAAACACCAGCAGCAGCTTCAGGGCCGTCTTCACCACCAAGCGAGACTATGGGAAGATGTCACTACAAGTGAGTGGGGTTTGGGACAGACCTCTGCTAGCTCCTGTAGGAAGGGGGAAGGGCTCCAGGGGTTAGACCTAGAAAGAATAGTCTAGGCTGAAAGACCTGGCTCCAGGGCTAGCCCAGAAAAGCCTTCTAGGCTTAGAGGAGCCCCAGACTTGCTCCATTTTAGTCCACTTTGAAGAGGAAATTGAGGCTCAGATAAGCAATGGGAGAAGGGTTCATGACTGGGTAAAGGGTCACTTACCAGGCTGGCACACAATGTATACAGCCATTGCACTGTCTCACTGTGGGCTACCACCCCCAGCATGCCGTCCACAAAAAGCATCAGCTGGCCCAGTGCTGCAGACACAGGGATGGAAGAGGTCAGCAGAGGTGGGGGTCGTCAGGGCAGAAGTCATGGGGAAGGAGTGGGGCTGACCTCGAAGGATGTAGCTCTGGTAGTTGTGGTCAGCAGCAGCACCCACACGAATCAGGCAACTCAGTCCCTCTGAGTGCACAAATTCAGGCACCAGGTCCTTGTCTTCCTGGTGGCACCACAGGGGAGTTTAGGGAGGTTTAGGCTGGCCACCCCCCCCCCGCCCACCTCTGAGCCTCACCTGGAAGATCTGCTTCAGTGAGAAGAGGGAACGGCGGAGCTCAGGGCCACTGGACCCATACAGTTTTTCTGCAAGAGGTAGGTAGGCATGAAACCCTTAAGGTGACAGTCCTCCTCCTCTAGAACACAACCACAACCTCCCACCAAAGAAGATTCTAGTATTCTCTAGTCCCTGACTCTGGTACCTCCCACTACTGCCACTACCACAGTCTAGTTGTGGCATTAGTCCTGGCCCTGGGAGGAGAGGTCAGGGGAGGGCAAAAGGGGGCACATTCAGTCTCCAATCTACTCTGTCCAATCTTGCACAGTCCTGAAAGAAATTGGACCACTGGGCTATGAGGGTGGGGATATTGGGAGACTGCTGGACACACTCACCCAAGATAGCGTTGACTCTCACTGAGAGCTGGGTTCGCAGAATCAAAGTGGGCTTCCGCCCTTTGCTGGAATCAAGCAGCCTAGTCAGCAGCTCCCAGCCCATTCCTCAGGGTCCCACCCCCTGAACTAATGCAGCAAAAGTTTTCCACATGCCAATCGCTGGCCCAGTTCTTTCCTTCCCAACCACTACTCTAAGGGCCCAAGGCTTGGCCAGACAGGAGGGTTTGTGTAAACACAGGTATTTTAGGTATGTGGGAGAGCTCCTGCATTCATCTTAGGCAGCAAGTAACACTGGCCAAGCTTTGGGATTCCCCTGGCATAGTTCCCTGGGGTGGCAGGAGGTGACCTCTGGCCCGGGCTATAGATCAAGTGTCTCAGCTGCTGACACCTGAGCCAGCCCCTGGTGGGGACAAGGGTGGGGGCTTGGACCAGACCCATGTTAGCTCCTGTGGAGGATGGGGAAGGGCTCCTTGCTTCCCTGGCTCTATCAGTTCTAACCTGATCTCTTCATAGAAGCCCTCCAGCATCTCTCGCTGCTCTTCCAGGGACAGTTCGGAGTCCAGGTAGTACCCAGAGGGAGACACTTGCAGGGCACAATCCTCCAGCTGGGGATAGAAGAATAACTGTTAAGGCTGGTGCTATAGTTTAGATGTTGAATGTCCCCTGAAGTCCATGTGTTAAGGGTTTGGTCCTCAGGGTGGGGCTATTGAGAAGTGATGAGTTGCTCACCTTTGTAAGGCTCTTAAGATGCCTTCAGAGGGATTATGAGACCCCAGCCAATCCAGTATTTCTCTTTACTTTCTGGTCCATGAGATGTAAGCAATTTGCTTTGCTAAGTACTCTTGCCATAATGTACCACCCTCCCATGGGGTCTATCCACTTTGGATTCAAACCTTCAGAATCATAGGCCAAAAAAAGCTTTTTATCTTTTTATAAGTTAATTGCCATGGTATTTCATTATAGTAACACAAAATTGACTAATGCAGCTGGGGAAGAGGTGGCAAAGGTATGTATAAAGACCCTATGCCTGATGACCTGCCAGCACAGCAGCACATGCCTATAATCCTAGAGACTTGAAAAGCTGAGGCAGGATGATCACAAGTTGGAAGTCAACCTTAGCAACTTAGCAACAACCTGTCTCAAAATAAAAATAAAAAGGGCTGGGGATATAGCTTAATGGCAAAGTGCCCCTGGGTTCAATCCCCAGCACCAAACAAACAAACAAAACCTCCTATAACCTTTTACTTTCCACTTGAGGTGTGGTAGAGAGGCACACAAGCATCTCCACTGTAGCTGTACATTCCTTCAGCAACTGTTTCTCAAGTACTTTCTAGGTACTGAGGCCTTCTGTCTCAGGTGCCAGGCTTTCTTGCCCTTTGTATGTGCCATCTCCTCTCCTGGTTAGTACCTATTTTTTGGGGTGGGGGAGGTACCAGGGATTCAACTCAGGGGCACTTGGCCACTGAGCCACATCTCCAGACTTGTTTTGTATGGTATTTAGAGACACGGTCTCACTGAGTTGCTCAGCGCCTCGCCATTGCTAAGGTTGGCTTTGGACTCAGGATCCAAAGATAATGCTTTTGGAAAGCCTTCCTGAATTGTCCAGCCAATGTTAGGCAATCCACCCAACTCCATATATACACTCCTTGCTGAGGCATCCCACATAATCTTAACATATCCTTGACATGACACTAGTTTTCCTCCCCACTGACTAGGTTCAGGCACTTTGCCTGTGTTGCTCCCTGCTGTACCTGCAGAGTTTAGCACAGTACTTGGCACATAGTAAGTGCTCACCGAATACTTGTTGAATTAATGAACACAAATGAACAAGGGGCATGGAGAGAAGATGGGAGGAAGTTCTTGCCTTCAAGGAAGCTCACAAGCATGTGGGGTGATAAGCTGTAGCTACAAAGCATTGAAGCCCAGGGAGAAAGTGTTAAGCATGCAGTGAGGTGCAAACCCAGCTGGCAGAGCTGGGAACATCTCTGCAAGTAAGATATTGAGAAACAGGGGATGATACATAGATTCTCCAGACCCTTTAGGCCTTAGTTGCTTTGTTTTTCTCCCAAGGGGGCTACAGTTATAATGGTCCTAGTTAGACCTCAGATTTTAGGGTTTGACTCAGTCAGTCTACATAGGGCCCTGAAAGAGGCATTTGTAACAGGAAAACATGTGCTCCATCCATGTATCCACTTTCCATGTTTCTCTCCCCTAAGCCTGGCTTCCCTCCACTGCCACCAGGCATGGCACTTAGCCCCTTCAGAAACACCTTATAGAGGCCAGTATAAGGAGACTCCAGACACTCTGAGAGCAGCATTGTGCCTTATTGTGGACACCTCCCCCACAGTACAATGCTGGCATGCAAGACTATGCAAAGTCCCCTTTATTGAGTGACTCTGGCCCTTGAGGTGCTATGGCCCAGGAAGAGCCTGCTTCTGGAAAGCCAGGAGGTCTTATGGTCTCCATTTCACTGAACAAGTCAAATCCAACATTTGTCCTGCTGTTTGGCCTGCCCTGCCCTGCCCTGCTCTGGACCCCACCCAAGGACTTCCAGCTGCCCTTGGTCCCTTGGGGGAAAGGGAATCCAGCTCTAGCTTCTGTCTTTGCTTTGCACCCCTACTCCTGCCTCAGAATATGATCTGGCTCCTTCCTGGCAGTTTAACCCCTACAGGGCCCTTGGGTGACACTCTCCCCCCTTGCTTGGGACATGGGACATAGGACAAACATTCCAGCCTGTTCTCTGACCCACTTCCTGTCTGGCTGCCTGCCCTTCCCAGGGCGCCTTGGGCGGGCCTGGCCTCTGTCCCTTCCCTGGGAGCAGAGTCATCCTCTCCAGGTCCTACTGAGAATAGGCCTGAGAGGGTGTATCAAGACACTAAGGCTACAGTATCTCACCCAGGGCCAGCTCAGTTAAGGCCACCTTCACATTCCTCATGATCCCTCTTCCCACGCAGCGACTCAGCAGCTTACCCCCAAACTCCAGCCCAGCCCAGCCCCATCTCCTTGCACCTTGGCCTGGAGTATTCTGGGATCATAGAGAAACATACATACCCCAGAGCCACAACCCCTGCTCCTAGTCATTCCAAATCACACACATTCATGAACCTGGCTATTTTAGGTTCAGAAGACACAGCAGGAACCAGACAGTGCCTCTCTCTCTGCCTTCCCATCCTTCCAACCCAGCAGGGAAGACAGTCAGGCCTGACTCAGAAAAAGCTCACAATAAATGTCGAATCACAACTTCCATGAGTGCTAAGAAAGGGGAGGACCAGATGTGGTAACACTAGAGGTTGATCATATTAGCCATGGTAACCACTCACACACTCAGGTATATGGTCAGGCATGTCTGTGCACAGGCTAAAGTAGCACATCCCCAGATAAGCCCACAATGCTGTCCTCTCCTTCTGCACTAACTCTTGTGTGTTCCCATTCCAAGTGAGCAAGGAATGGCCCTTTCCTCCAGAATACTTGTTGGGGCTAAGTGGTCCATCTCCTCTAGCTTCCTCAGGCAAGTTTAACCCTTTCCTCTATGATAAGAAACTAGGCCTCTTCAGCCACTTCACCTGTCCAGTCCTGCCAGGGTTCCATTCCTGGGAGGAGGTCCAGGAGTAATACCTAGCCTAATGCATCCAAGACAGTTTCCCAAAACCCCAGCTATCTGTCCTGGTGGAGGTGGGGGATGGCAGGCTAGAGTCAGGCAGGCAGCAAAAAGGGGAGACTTCCTGCCACCAGGGTGGTGCTTATCCTTCACACCCCTGGCTCCTTCCTGGGGTCACCATTCTGAAAGCCAAGCCTCTGGACCTTGTTTCTCACACCCTGGGGCTAGGCCAGGCTTGAGCAAGTCCAAACCCAGTCCCTGCTGACAATGATTAGGGTCAGCATACTCTATGGGCTCATATTCTCAGCTCCATTCTGGATCTTGTCTTCCTCACTTCTCTGGTATCTGTCTTTTGATGGAGTCCCTCCCCCATTCCAGGCTTAGCCCCTCACTTCAGCCTTCAGCCCACTTTTCTATTTACTCTCCAGCCTCAGGCTTTTTTGGCAGCCCAAACCCATTGACTACATGTTTTTTTTTTTTAATTTTAATTTTTTATTTTTTGCAATGCTGGGTATCAAACCCAGGGACTTGCATGCACTAGACAAGTACCCAACACTTAGCTATACTCCAAGTCTCCTTACACATGGTTTTATATACAGGATAAAGCTTAGGGGAAGATGGTGTCTATCCTCCCCCCATTTTTGATACTGGGGATTGAACCCAGGGATTTATCACTGAGCTACATTTTGGGGTTTTGGTGGGGTGTTTTTGGTTTTAAATTTTGGGATTGGGTCTCACCAAGTTGCTGAGGCTGGCCTTGAACTTGTCTTGCTCGGTCTCCTGAGTTGCTGGGATTACAGACATGCACCAAACAGAACTAGCTTTAGCTCCCCAATACTTTTTATAAAAATATAATCAGGTGAGAATGAATATGCAGGAATAGAGTGAAAGGAAGATGGAGGAGAGGGCAGAATTACATGCTGAAGAATTTTTGTTTTAGGAAATAATTGGCCTATTACTTATTTTGACTCCTTTTCTATAAACACAGGACCCTGTGCTCTAAAGACCCTCCTTTCCTTTTATCTTGTGTCTCTAGTTAGACTGAGACTTCCTGGATGACATGGATGAGATGACATGGATGTGCTTTGGGGAAGGAAATCCACATTTGTTTTGCCTCCACTGTGTGGATGCCTAGTTCATTTGATTATCCTGATAATCTTTTTACAAGAGAGGAAACCAAGGCTCAGAAAGAAAATGAATTGCTCTAGGTAGCACAACCTTGAATGGAACCAAGGCTAATTGACTCAGATCTTGGGTGGATGGGACTTAAAAGTGCTCCAGGGAACTCTGAAAGGAAAGTGGAGTGTGGGCTGGGGCCTGCAGGATTGCCAAGGGCTGGATACTGCCCCCTCAGCTTCCTGGATTCTGTAAATATCCCAAACTGGTCCTCCCAGTTCTAGCAAGGAAACACAAATGAACACACACACACACACACACACACACACACACACACACACACACTATATGTTGCTAGTCACTGAGGTCACAAAATCTACTTCTGAAAGGATCTAGGTTCTATAATTCAGCTTCTCTAGCCCAGAAAGACCAGGAGATGGAACATGTCACAGGAAAGCCTGGCAGGTCACCACTCATGCTCACATCCCAATTTTCTTTAATCTTCAAAGTGACTCTCATATTAGGGAATGAAAGAGCTCAGTTCATCACCAGAGCACTCTACAGTCCCCTTAAGAATTCTCAGGGACCCCTTCAGTTAGTCCCTAACCTAGAAGGTCAGTTTCATACCTGAGCCCCCTTGCCATAATGGCTCCTGAGAGGTAAACAGGGCTGGAGTGGGTTAGAGTAGGGTCAGGACATATTTTGGCACCAAGCCACTCCCGTCCTACTCTAATCTTCAGTCATATCTGTCTAGGGGAACAAAATTATTGGTAATGACCAGCTATCCTTGCTGCCAGGAAGAGAAGACTCCTCTAGCCCTTGCAACAAGGTCAGAGAAACACCTCAGGTCCTCTGCCCAATGCCCAGGAAGAAGGTAGTGGTATCCAAGATGTGACAAAGCCTTTGAGGCCTAGAGGAGGCTCCTAAGGCCCTTTCTAGAAGAGAAGACAAAACTGAGTAGCTCTGGATTAAGAGATAAGACACCACAGAGCCAATTCTCCCTGGGGTGGGGGCAAGTCCTTGGGCTAAGACAGCCTTTTACATATATGGGAGAAAGGCACTCCTGAGGGCCCCTGGCCTGGGAACTTTTAGCCTGGCCCTAGGCACTGTCAGGCTCCCCCCACCACCAGGGCCAGGAGATGAGTCAGAGGCTGAGGACAAGAGCTTCCTCCTAGACTTGGAGGAAATGAGCAAGGCTTTCTCAGACCTGCAAGCTCTGAAATGGTTTAAAAAGGGAGTCCCCAGGGAACTCTAGGTTCAGTAGGTTGTCGGGGCAGAGTCCCTGGGAGAGTGGGCCCTCTTCTATACACAACCAGGGAGGGCGCAGGGTGTGCAGGGATGATAGACCAGTGCTCCAGAGTGGGAGGGCAGAGGTCATACTTGGCTGTGTCCTGTCCTCTGCTTGACAACTGTACACAGGAAACAGCAGTTGGTAAGCAACCTCTCCCTCTTATTTCTGCCCTATAGCCTGGGACAGTGATGCCTGGGTTTTGGGCCATCTCTCCCTTTTGGAAGGCTAGCAAGGTAGGCTTGAGTTATGTCTGGGCTTCTGGTGCACCAGCTTAAAGGACTAGGGGAAGAACCAGTTGTTGACATTTCCTGTGAGGAGGAGCCTTGCTCCCCCCTTCCTCAGCTCTCTGATGTTCCTGCCCCATCTTATTCACAGTCCCTCTTCCTCCAGCCTTCTATTCTGGGTCTGTGGTCACAGTTTATATTTGGGACAAGCACATCACAGTGCATCTGACCATTCCTGGAAAAGCTGCCAGCTCCAGGGAGTCCTGGTTCCAGACACTGTGGTAACTTAGCTTGAAGGTTCCCAAAGGCTCTTAGTGGGGAACGGGACAGTCTTCAGTACTCCAGGTGGAGATCCTGAAAGGGGACAGACCAGGAAGCAGAGTTGCATGTGAGGGACTTAACATTCTTCCATACAACTCATGTCCTTAGCTAAGGAAAAGAGAAAAGGTCAGGACACCTGGTAGGTTGGGAACTTGGTCTTATTTTTTCCTTTTTATGTGGCGATAGAGATCAAACCCAGATTCCTATTGTATGCTAAACACATGCAGGAGATCAGGTATCTAAATGAAGGGGGAGAAGGGATGGTTCTGAACCTCTTTCCTGCAGCTGACCTCCCAGGCCTAACCCTGGTTGTGAAGAGGAGTGTTAGAGCTAGGTCCTGCTCCAGAATGGGAGAATGGTAAGAATATTATACTCTAGTAGTCCAGCCTTGTTTCTGAAGTAGTTCCAGGATGAAGAACCCACCTCATTTCTGTACCCCTTTCTCCCTATCCCACCTACTGAATGGCAGGTGGGCTCTGGCTGGACATACTTCTAGCCCACTTCAGTCTGCTGCTGTGACTAGGGCAGGACAAGATGGGGATGCATGAAAACTCCGGAGGTGGGCAGTATGCTGCATCCTTCCAGCTGTGGCCTTGAAGCCGGGCTCCGCAGGGACACGTGCCACTCCCCAGACGATAGTCTCCCCACCCCTCCCCGGCCGCTGGGAGGCGGGGCTGGCCGAGGCTCCAGGAATGCAGGCCTGGGGGCCTGGCGCCCAGGGCACATTCCAGGGAAGACCCCGGGCCCAGGGGGCATGTTTGCGCAACTCGGTGTCCTGCTGAGGCACCCCACCAACTCCCAAGGCTTTTCCTAACTACTCAGAACCGACCCACTGGCGGGGAACCCCAGGGGATGAAAGGGCGCCTCCCGGAGTCTTGGCCCGGAAACAGCGCGCCGGAAGGGCTGCCTGAGGGGGTCTGTGGGCTGCGAGCCCGAGTGGCGGGGAGGTCTGGCCGGCCATCTGGAAAAGGGCCTCTCCAGTACTGTGCAAAGTCGGCCTTGGGGCCCGTGCAAACTAGGGCACGACGGAGGTTTAAAATTAGCCGGCCCGCCCCCTCCCTTCCAGGCGCTGGCCTCAAGCGGCGGGTGTACGCGGGGGTGGGGGGACGGTGACTCAAAGGGCTTTTCCACCCTGTGCAGCCTCCCGCGCTCCGCGTAACCCGGGCCTGGTCGCTTCCCGTGGACTCCTCTCACCCAGCAGTCTCTTCTTGGCCGGTACACCCAGCCTCCAGATACCACTTCACCTCTAGTGGCCCGCCCTGGATCCGTCCCTCCTCCTGATACACCGCACCCCTCTCACCTGAAGCAGGTGGAAGCTGGTCCCTCCCTAGCTCCGCCTCCTGGGTCTGTTACAGCCCGAACAATTACTGACACTCAGCTCAGGACAGCCACCCTGGCAGACCCGCAGCAAAAGGACACCTAGCACCTCTTTAGGTGGGCCTCAGTTGGAGGGGAAGCCAAGACAATGGAGACCACAATCTGATAGTCTCCGCCGCCCGCAGGCGTGGACCCTGGGATCCCAGTTCAAGTTTTTTCCTGAGTACAAGCTCCAGCCTCTTCTTGAGAGGCACCTCCCATCGGGTTTCAGGGCGCGGACTCTGAACTCCCTATCGCCCCAACTTTTCTCCGCGCCCCTCTCACCTTGAGTGGCGCCCCTAGGAGCCGGTGCAGCGCAGGTATTTGAGCACCCAGGGGCAGGGCCCCGTCCAGGCTGCAGGTAGGGGCCCGTCGTGGCTCCGGGAAGTTGGCACATGCAAAGGGGTCGGTGTCTTCCAGGTACTGCACCCTCACGGTCACCACTGATACTGGCTCCCCGTCCCCGCGGTCTTCCCCGCCTGCCATGGTTCTGCCACCGGCTCGCACCGCGCGCGCCTCGGTGTTTCTGACCCGCAGCAGCTTCCACTCGTCTAGCCCTGCTGCTTGGGCTGGGCCGGACCGGACGCTGTGGGGGGCGGAGCCAGACGGAGGCGGGGCCGAGGAGGGGGTGGGATCAACACTGGGCCCCAAATGCGCGCAGGGGGTAACCACTGCCAGGGGCGGGGCTTGCACCAACCACTCAGAAAACCCGATAGTGATCCCGTTAGTTCCCTGACTCTGAGGGCGGGAAAACCCGAGCTGGCGCCCCGCCTTGGAGAGCCCAGAGGCTGGGAAGGCTTTCTTTGGGCTTGGGGTAGGTGAGGCTGCTCTTCTTTGCGGGATGCTAGGGCAGGTGGGGCAAAAGTTCCTTCACATAGTGGCCGACCAGGTATCCCTAAGTTCAGGGATGAAATGGCCCTGATTCCTTCAGTTTGAGTGTTACTATTTCCATTACTTGGCGAAAAAGCAGTTGAGAAGGGTTTCTTTCAGTTTGGAGCAAGAAGTAAAAATAGATTTCGGCTGTTTGAAGGAAGAAGTGGAATCGGTTCCCTTTAGTTGTGGGAAGAAGAAGGACGAGTGCCCTTTCTCTAAAAAAGAATGGGATGAGTCAGTTTGAGGAGGCAGGTAGCACATCTTCCTCTCAGTTTGGAGGAAGAACTGGGATGGGTGTCCCTCAGCTTGAAAACTGGAGTCAACCTTCCTCTGGAGCGAGATGAGCCGAATTACCTAAAGTTGGGTAGATCCCTCTGAGTTTAAAGGGAATTCCATAGGTTCCTTTGGTTTCATGGAAAAGATGAGTGGAGTTCTCTCTAGTTTAGGGAAAAGGGACGGCCGGCCGATATCTCTCCATCTGGGAGATAAGAGAAACAGCTTCCTTCTCAGCCTGGAGTGAGTTGGGCCTAGTCCGGGGCTTAGGGTGACCGGGGACGTTGGGGACTGAGTAGTCCATCACCGCTTTGTGGAAGCGCCCTGTGCGCGTGCGCAGCTCTGGTCCGGGCGGGGGCCTTAAGTGGGTCTCAGGTTTGGGGGAGCAGCGCGGAAGGCAGCAGTGCACTGCCCCCTGCGGTCTGCACAGGGCGGTGGCTTAGTGAGCGGCCTGGGCACTTGGGGCTGGCTGCTTGCGGCCGGGCGGCAGTCGCCACGGAACCGCGTCCCTCCTTCCTGGCCCAGTTCCCCGGGACCCTCCGCCCCTCCAGCAACAGCTGTCTCTGGAGGACGGTGGTCGCTCACCGCTCCAAATCCCGGTGATGGGAGGTTTCGGGGAGGCGGACTCGGAGGAGTAGATTTTGGGACTGAGGGAAGGGCTGATTTGGGTAATTTCCGGAGCTGGGATTAGTCTAGAGGGGATGGAGGAGAGGATTCCGACTGTGGTCGTCCGGAGCAGAGTCTCCGAGTCCAGATCTGGCCCGAGGTATCGGAACCGGGATTGGGGGGAGCGGGCCCCACGTGCCTGTGACGCGGGGGCGCCCGGTAGGCGGCGGCGGCGGTGGCGACGCGGGGCCGGCGGCCGTTTGGTGCCGGGAGGGCGGCGAGGTAAGCTGCAGGATGCTGCGCGCTGCACTGGCCCTGCTCGGGCTGCCCCTGGCGGGGGCAGGGGCGGCCGAAGAGCCCACCCAGGAGCCGGAGTCGCGGGGCGAACCTCCCCCAGGCTTGGCGCTCTTCCGCTGGCAATGGCACGAGGTGGAGGCGCCTTACCTGGTGGCCCTGTGGATTCTGGTGGCCAGCTTGGCCAAAATCGGTGAGTGTGTGTGTGTGCGTGCGTGCGCCAGGCTAGCGGTTGGCAGCAGATCCGCCCCCAACCCCCGGGTCCCCGGATCCCCCCAGCTTCTTCCACATTGTCCTGACTTAGGTTCGGTTTCCAAAAAATCCCGGTTCGCACCCAGTCCCTGCGCCTTCTCCTGTGGGTCTCCCTCCTCCCTGTTCTCCGTGGAAGCGCCAAGCATTTTCCCTTCATGAAGGACTGCCCCTGCTCTCTCCAGCACCATCTTTGGGTTCTTTTACCCTCTTTGCTCTCCTCTTCCCCTTGCAATGAGTCCCCCTCAGTCCAGCCTCTCCCCACCAATGCCCAGCTTCCCAGAAACCTCCTTCAGCGGTGAAGTGAGGATGTGTGGGGACGTTCAGGGGATGGTATTCTACGAGGAACACAGACATCCTGGTCCTAAGGAAGCCGACTTCCCTGGAGACGACGCCAAGTATCCATTCTCTTGGGGATGTTAAACCACCACTTTTCCTCTAGCTCACCTCTGCACCCCACATAAAAATAACACATTCTTGCGCCTAGGTATCCTCTGTCCCACGCACTCCCATTCAAATTCACATTCCTCCCACTTCGGGGTATAAGAAACTTCCATTTATTGGGGCTTTGCTGTGTGCTGCCTACCCTAATTGCTTTTATACTTCAACCTCCTTCAGTCCTCAAAACAGTGAAGGGTGTTTCAGACTATTTTCCTTGAATAGAGCTGCTTTTCCTTGCCTCTGCCCCTTCCTTCCTCCTCCCTTTTGTGCAGTTAGTGGTCCCTCCTCCCACCAGAGACCCTCCTCCTTCTCCCTGTTGTGCAGGCTCTTCTGTGGGGGTGACTAATTATAGCTGAGCGTTGCTACTCACTCCCCATCTATGCTGGCACAGCCTGTACTCCGGCTTACCAATGCAGCCTTCATGTAGGAATCTCTCAGCCTAGTATTTGCCCCCTTATCCCCCAGGGACATTGCTTGGTCGTGGTGGTGGTGCAGGCCTAGACAGAAAGGGAACTCTGTACTTTGCTTTGGCAGCTGGGGATTAATAATGGAAAGTGGTACTCAAAATGCCTTTAGCAAGCCTGATTCTGCCAGAGAACTGGCTTTGTGATGGGTCTTGGTTGCAGTGCTGGGTCTGGTGCATGCTGAGGAGATGAGAATGAAGTAAGGTTTCTGAAGGAGAGGAAAGAGGTACTCAAGGCAGGGATGAATGTGGGGAGTTCTATTGACTAAGCTCACACTAGAGATCCAGCAGCAGTGAGAGCAAGCTAGGTGCAGCGAAGAAGAATTGTGTTTACTGAGAAGTCTGTGAGTTATGGGAGAGTTCCTGTCTTAAGGTTTATAGCAACAACTGTGGTTTCCACCATTTGGGGGAAAAAGAGAAAAAACAATTCTCATAGAAGAGGAGAAATATAGAATGTTCAGGAATACCTCCAGTTTCATTGCTAGGTCCCCACCACACACATCTTTTATTCAACACATATTTATGTAAAGCCCACTGTGTTCCAGGCATTAACTTAGGCCCTTTGAGTACAGCTTCCAAAGGGCACTGTCTTGGCATAGGGATTCACACCTGTGTCAGGAAGAGTACAGGGAGGCCTCCTCTGCCAGCACCCTCAGGATTGTGTGGGGGAAAATGTGTTCACTTATAGTCTGAGGGCCCAAGGGAGATCCATATTCCAGGGGACAAAAGTGTAAGTCTCAGTAGTGCTAGAAACCCTTTTCTTACTTTCTCCTCTTTTCCTAGAAACAGATCTATTTATTATTTCCTCCCTGAGTCATATTAACATTTGTTGAACCTACTATGGTCTAGGCCTCACACTAGGCACATTTGCACACTTTATATAATTTTATCTTCATACTTTGTGATTGGTATTTTTCCCATGTTACAAGAGAAGAAATTGAAGTTCAAGTAGATTTAATAATAATCACAGTGATAAATCCAGAAAAAGACTTGGAGATCTGGCTGCTAAACCTAAAACTTTTTATTTTTTTGGCAGGGTTGGGGGTACCAGGGATTGAACCCCAGGAGTGCTTAACCATTGAGCCACATCCACAGCCCTTTTTATTTTGAGACAGGGTTTCACTAGGTTTCTTAGGGCCTCATTAAGTTGCTTGAGGCTGGCTTTGAACCTGCAATCTTCCTGCCTCAGACCCCTGAGCTGCTGGGATTACAGGCATGTGCCACCATGCCCAGCTAAAACCCCAAACTTTTAAAGTACTGAGTCCTTGCTGAGCCCAGACAATGAAAAATATGTTGGGCTAGAAGGTCTACAATGCTCCTAGGAGGTGTACTATGCATTATAGTTGGGGAACCCTAACTATAATATAACATAATAACATTTATCATAATAATATGTAACATTTATTGAGCTCTTACTATAAGCAGTGTGCTAAGGGCTCTTAAGTGGATTATTCATTTTATCCCCACAACAATCCTGTGAGACCATTATTGTTTTATTTTTTGTGGTACTGGGGGTTGAACTCAGGGACACTCTACCATAAAGCTACATCCCCATTTTTAAAATGTAATTTAATTATTTATTGGTACCCAGGATAAAACTCAGGCACATGACCACTGAACCACATCCTCAGTCCTATTTTGTATTTTATTTAGACAGGGTCTCACTGAGTTGTTAAGTGCTTTACTTTTTGCTGAGGCTGGCTTTGAATTCGCGATCCTCATCCTCCTGTCTCATCCTCTCCAGCCACTGGGATTACAGGTGTATGCCACCACGCCCAGCTTATTTATTTTATAATCTTTTTTAGTTGTAGATGGACACAATACCTTTATTTTATTTATTTTTATGTGGTGCTGAGGGTTGAACCCAGTGCCTCACATGTGCTAGCAAGCAGCATTCTACCACTAAGCCACAACCCCAGCCCTTATTTATTTTAATTTGAGACAGAGTTTTACTAAGGCTGTCCTTAAACTTCAAATCCTCCTGCCTCAGTCTCCTGACTATCTGGGATTATAGACATGTTACTGTACCTAGCTGATTGCTATTCTTTTTACTTCTTCCTTGCTGATGAGAAAACTGAGGGTCAGAGAGGTGAAGTTATTTTCCTAGATCAGAGAACAAGTAAATGGGGGACATAGACCTTGAACCCAAGCAGCCCTGGAAGCCCGAATTTCACAGCTATGTTATGCATAAAAAGGATTTGCTTAGGTTCAAATAATAGCTGTGGAAAGGAGGTCAGAGAAGGATGAGGTCCCCTGAAGATGAGAGAGGAGGGAGCATTTCCAGGAATGGAAAAAGCAAGCAAAAGCCTTGCTACAGTAAAGGGTTTGTAGCCCTGGAGGTTAGAGATTCTAGAAATTTTGCATTTCGATTTTCTTCCCTTGGTCCCAGGGTCAGGGCTTCTAAGACTGGGAGGTTATAGGCTGGTGTGTGGAAGGTGTTTCATAAGCTCATACCTGCTACCCTCTTCTTGCATTGTAGTGTTTCACCTGTCTCGGAAGGTAACATCTCTGGTTCCTGAGAGCTGCCTGCTGATTTTGCTGGGCCTGGTACTAGGGGGCATTGTCTTGGCTGTGGCCAAGAAGGCTGAGTACCAGTTGGAGCCGGGTACCTTCTTCCTCTTCCTGCTGCCTCCTATTGTGCTGGACTCAGGCTATTTCATGCCTAGTCGGCTGTTCTTTGACAACTTGGGTGCCATCCTCACCTATGCTGTGGTGGGCACACTCTGGAATGCCTTCACAACAGGCGCTGCTCTCTGGGGCCTGCAGCAGGCTGGACTTGTGGGTGAGTGATCCTAAAGACCTGGGCTGACAGGCAGAGGTTTTTGTCAGACCCATCACCTCTCTTCTTTCTCCTCCAGTTCTGAAGGTCCCATGCTGGCAAGAGCCATGCTATAAAAGATCCATCTCAGGCCCCTCCCACCTGAAGTATAAGGCAACTCTCCAGATGGGCTTCAACCCTCATTTAGTTCCCTTCTAGTCAAGTCTGCACTTCTGCTGCATGACAACTGAGTGGGGACCTGGCTCCCAGTGTGTGCGCTGCTGAGCTGGAGGAGCCTGCATTACCACTCTGTTGTCTCCTGCCCTGTGTTACCACATTGCCACTTGCCAACCCTACTTTCTTGAGACACAGCTCATCATTTCTGCAAGGGCTTACCGTCCTGGCTCTACTCAGGCCATGTCAGTGTGGTTTCCTGTTTTTATTATTTTTACTAAATATATATACATCCATAAAATGCTAAGCACTATGCTGGGCATTCTCTCCTTACTTATCCTGTTGACTCTTCATAACAAATCTATTGGGGTATAATTTGTCCCATTTAATGGATGAGAAAGTAGAGTCCCTAAAATTCATTTGCTATCAGATCCAAGATTACCAGAAGTCCAAGATTAGCCTCCATTTTATTGATGCGTTTTTCCTTTAGCCCCTCCCCTGTTCCCCTCTTTATTTCCTTATCAAAGAAATCCATTCAATCCTGATGTTGATAATTCAGACTTCTTCCAAAGTAAAAGGAGATGTTTATAGTTCCCAGCTTGGGACTTCAACCTAGTTTTCCTAATAAGATAATGAGCTATTTGGGACAGAAAGGGAAAAGAGAACATTAGATCCTAGTCTTAGTAGTAATTTTAATAATAGTAATAGCTATTGGATGCTTACTATATATCAGGCTCTGGCTAGATAAAGGACTTTTGTTTTAAACTTTAAAAAATTATAAATAATTGAGTACATTATAATTATGTATATTTGTGGGATTCATTATTACATACATACACAATAAATAAAGAACTTTTTAGGTGCATATTGTTATTTCCAATTTGTCCATGGGAAAAGTGAGGCTCACAGAGATTATTTGACATGTTCAAATACCACCTGTAGGACTTTTTTGCTGTCCTCTTGCTAAGAACTGTGAGTGTCACATCTCTTTGGCTGAGAACTGCAGGAGTGGGAGAAAGCTCTCTCCTGTTATCCTCCCTAATAAAGCCAGTCGACAGCCAATTCCCACCTGCTGGGAGCTACTATTATGATTGCTACAGTTTTCATTACCAGTACCATCTTAGTTTTTCAGTTTACATAGAGCTTTTTTAGCAATATCCTGAGTTGGTTTTTGCAGCCATTTTGTGAGATGGGCAGATGAGGAAGCATGGTTAACAGAAGTCATGTTACAGTGACATCACCCATATCATACAGCTGATGAGTGGCAAAGCCAGACTTTGGGAATAGAATAGGCAGCCTGCCTCAAGTCTCCTGACCTGCAGGCCAATGCCCTCCTCACCTTCCCAAGTATTTTTTGGGCTTCCTGTTTTATCAGTGAGGGTAGCATCTGGTCTGTTCCAGTGAGTGCCACATGAGCTGGGGGCATCTTCACCAATTACTGGTCTGTCTTCTGTCTCTCCCTTGCTAGCCCCCAGAGTGCAGGCTGGCCTGCTGGACTTCCTGCTGTTTGGGAGCCTCATCTCAGCAGTGGACCCTGTGGCTGTACTGGCTGTCTTTGAGGAGGTGCACGTCAATGAGACTCTCTTTATCATCGTTTTTGGGGAGTCCCTGCTCAATGATGCAGTCACTGTGGTGAGTGCTCAGCAGGCTGACATCCCCTGACCTCAGGCTACCACATTCTGACTAGTTGGGCATCTGAGCAGGCTCAGACCCTTTCTTCTGGTCCCCTGGGGAAGAAATAGGTCTCAGCTTTTCCCCTCTTCCAGTGGCCTTGGTTGCTATCTCCCCCTCACTTGCTCCTGAATTTCCTCTTTTCACTTAGGTGCTGTACAAGGTCTGCAACTCTTTTGTGGAGATGGGCTCTGCCAAAGTGCAGGCCACTGACTACCTGAAGGGAGTCGGTCAGTATTTCCCCCTCTCTGTCTCCCCCAGGTTGCTGAGTCCCACCCTACTGGCAACAGGACAGCAGAGGCTATTCGGGTTGCCTCATTTCTTACTCTCCTCTATGGAGAAATGGGGTCTGGGCAAAGCTTGCCCTGGGATCCTGAGCCCTGGGGAGTGTGGTGGGTATCTTCCGCCACTTCCTACCAGGCAGCACTCTTGTCAGCCTTGGGAGGGTCTGGACCAGGGGTCATGCTGATAACCCACTCCTCCCCCAGCCTCCCTGTTTGTGGTCAGTCTGGGCGGGGCAGCCGTGGGCTTAGTCTTTGCCTTCCTCCTGGCCCTGACCACACGCTTCACCAAGCGGGTCCGCATCATCGAGCCGCTGCTGGTCTTCCTCCTCGCCTATGCAGCCTACCTCACTGCTGAAATGGCCTCACTCTCTGCCATTCTTGCGTGAGTTCTGGGAGCCTTGCAGGCCGGCAGCTGGGAGGGGGCACTGGAGATGGTTGCCTCTCACATGGACAGAAGTGGGACCCTGAGGAGTTTGTAGGTTTTCTTGAGCCCTTGTGTACTGGTTCCTCAGTCTCCCTTGGAGAGAAAATAAACCTCAGGTAAACTTCCAAAACTGGGCACCCAGAACTGGGTACTCCAGGGCCCAGTCTTCCTCTGTCTTAAAAACCTGGGACCACTGGCTATGGTAACTAAGTGCTTCAAAAGATGCCTCAGAGTCTGCTAATTGGAGCATGTTTCTCGTCATTTTTCCCTCCTGGAGGCACTGAGTGGAAGCCTAGAGATCTGGATTCCCAGGGCCACTACTGACTTTCAGTGTCCATGCATTCCTAGTTTTTGTCCTTGCCTTCCTAGTTTTCTCCTCTGAGAGTCTGACACCCTGTGTTGGGCAATGCCCACTCTTGCAGCATGCTCAAACCCTGGAGGCTGAGCCCCCTGGAATGCCTTCTCACTTAATTCTGTCTCTCCATTCTTCTCCTCCCAGGGTGACCATGTGTGGCCTGGGCTGTAAGAAGTATGTGGAGGCCAACATCTCCCATAAATCACGCACAGCTGTCAAATATACAATGAAGACTCTAGCCAGTTGTGCTGAGACTGTCATCTTCATGCTGCTTGGCATCTCAGCTGTGGACTCTTCTAAGTGGGCCTGGGACTCTGGGCTGGTGCTGGGCACCCTCTTCTTCATCCTGTTCTTCCGAGCCCTCGGTATTGCTGGCACCCTCTGTTTCCCCACTCTCCTCCTTGTCTTCCCTCCCCCTGCAGGCTCATTCCCCAATCTGAGTCCACATCCTTGTCAATTCCTATGCCTCCCCCTAGTGCTCAATTCTCCCAGTCCTTACCAGACCTTAGCTCAGACACTTGGTGCCACCCACTCCCAGTGTCTTCCACTCCCAACACCTTGTTCCTGCTGACCTTCCTCCTGCTGTAGGAGTAGTCCTGCAGACGTGGATGCTGAATCAGTTCCGGTTGGTCCCTTTGGACAAGATTGACCAGGTGGTGATGTCCTATGGGGGCCTGCGGGGGGCTGTGGCCTTTGCTCTCGTCATCCTGCTGGATAAGACCAAGGTCCCTGCCAAGGACTACTTTGTGGCCACCACTATTGTGGTGGTCTTCTTCACAGTCATTGTGCAGGTGGGAGTGCCCATGAGGCTGGTGGGGAAAGGGTCCAGTAGGCCCTGGGGAAAGTCTTGGAACCTACGGAACAGGCACTCCTCCTCCTGTTGGGAGAAGCAGGAACCTAACTTCCAAGACCTTGAGCGCACTGGGGTAGGGGGACAGAGCTGAGGCCTAATGATGGGGGAGAGAAAGGCAGCAGGGAACTGATTAGGGAAGGGCTCACCTCCTGCCTGTCCATAGGGCTTGACCATCAAACCACTGGTCAAGTGGCTGAAGGTGAAGAGGAGTGAACATCACAAACCCACCTTGAACCAGGAGCTGCATGAGCACGTGGGTACCAGAACCCCAACCCTCCACCTGTCCCTTTCTCCCTTCTCCTATTTTGGCAGAGTCCTGATCCAGTCCCCCTACCCACCCCCTTCTAGACTTTTGACCACATTCTGGCTGCAGTGGAGGACGTTGTGGGGCACCATGGCTACCACTACTGGAGGGACAGGTGAGGGAGCTGCCCCGAGGCTCCTTCAACAGCAGCAGCCCCACCAGACAGGGCAGCATGGGGGATGTGCCACCCTTCTAAGAAGGGACACAACCAGGTTCAGGCTGGGTGACCTCTGTCTGGAGCCTTAGAGAAGCATTACTGTGCTCAGGATAAGACAAGGCTCCCTAGTGTGGCCTGCCTGGCCCTGCATGATCTGGCATTTACCAGATTCCAGCCCCATCATGCTCTGCTATGTCTTGGATGGTCTTCCTGCTAATTACTTGGACCCCATTAGAGCCTTAGGATCCACCAAGATCCCTGGGCCTGGCCACTGGGACTATTGCACATGTTCTCTCTATTAGAACATTCCCTTGCCTCATCTTGCTCTAACTTTTATTCATCTTTCAGATCTCACCACAAGCATAAATTCCTTAGGGAGGGCTTTCCTGGCCTCCCTGAGAAGGACAAATCCCTATCATATTCTACAATTATCCTTGTTAGTTCTTGTCATGGTTGCAATTTTACAGTTATTTGCAATAACTTTAATTAATATCAGAGTTTCCCCCAACACTGTAAATTTTACAGAGCAGGAACTAGCCTTGAGATTCTCCTAGCTGAGATCCATTCCAAGAAAGCCAGGCCAGTGCTGGTGGTGTCCCTGTCCTATCTGAGGAAGGGCCAGCCAGCCAGGCCTTGGGGATGGTACTCAGGGCTGGGCCTGGCATCCTCTATAGGTGGGAGCAGTTTGACAAGAAGTACCTGAGTCAGTTGCTGATGCGGCGGTCAGCCTACCGCATCCGGGACCAGATCTGGGATGTATACTACAGACTCAATATCCGGGATGCCATCAGCTTCGTGGACCAGGTAGGGCATATGGCCGAGAGAACAGGATAAAAAGGAGCAACAGGCAGGCAGGCAGCCTTATTAGGAGAGAGTTGGGAGTTCCCAGCTGTACTCATGGTCTGATGAAGTAGCAGAATTAAGCTTGACCTGGTGCTGACATTCAGAATCTGGCAAGCAGTATAGAAAGGTGGGAAACATTTGGACCCTGGAGTCAACAGATGTAGTTCAACTATTATCACAGGTGTGTGATTTTTGGAAGCCACTTATATGTCTGAGCCTATTTCCTAAGTCATAAGAAAGCAGAAATAAGAACAAGAGTACCTATTTCAGGTTTTACGGATTCAATATATAAAGTGTTACTACAGTATCTAGCACATCAAAAGAGCAAAAGAAGTATTAACTATTGTTCTCTTTATTATTCTCTTGATGCTGTGGGCCACCTTCCATCTGATTGCTGTCTGACTTTGGTCTTGACCCCTACAGGGAGGCCATGTCTTGTCCTCCACAGGCCTCACTCTGCCCTCTATGCCCAGTCGCAATTCTGTGGCAGAGACCTCTGTCACCAACCTGCTGTGAGTCCATTGAAGCCTCTTCCCCTTCCCCAAGCTCCTCTCCACTGGGCCCTCTTTCCAAATCCCTTCTGGGGAAGATTTTTCAGCACCTTTATTTCTATTCTTTCCCTGGCCTGTGCCTCCTGCCCCCTCCCTAGCACACATATCCCTGCCTCCTGCAGGAGGGAGAGTGGCAGTGGAGCGTGTCTGGATCTGCAGGTGATTGACACAGTACGCAGCGGCCGGGACCGTGAGGATGCTGTGATGCATCATCTGCTCTGTGGAGGCCTCTACAAGCCACGCCGCAGGGTGAGAGCAGGCAGGACATAAGAGGTCTAAGGGTGATGGGGGCTGATCTGGGGAGGTATGATCAAAGCTCAAGAGGCAATTGGTGCCAGATTGTGCTAAGCTGTAAATGCTCAGTTGGAGAGTGCTGCTAACAGGGTTTCATCCTGTTGGCAATAAAAAACCTTGACTTGTTGTTTTGGAGAAAGGACTGACCTTCTCTGGTAGCACAGAGGGCGCAAATTGAGAGCAGGAGAACCAGTAGGGATGTTAGAGGGAAACACTTCAGATTCAAGCTAGGTGGTGGGAGGAAGAGGACCACAAGGACCTGGGGATTGGCCATGAGAGGAGAGGAGGAAATGGCTAAGGGGCCTTGAGGGTCACTGGAGAATAAAAGTCACAGGAGCAGGGATGCTGAGGAAGGTTTTGGGATCAGCATGGGGGAGGCAGACATGTTTTAGGAAATAGTGAGTTAGTTCAACACAGACCAGTAGGGAATCTGTTGCAACCCCACAAGGGGGCAGCAAGCCATAGTTTAAACCTTCTAAAATGAGAAGCTAGCTGCTACCATCCCTGGCAGTTGTGCTTTTTTGGGTGGTGGGGTGGGATGGGGGTGGTACTGGGAGTTGAACTCAGGGGCACGCAACCACTGAACCACATCTCCAGCCCTATTTTATATTTTATTTAGAGACAGGGTCTCACTGAGTTGCTTAGCAACCTCACTGTTGCTGAGGCTGGCTTTGAACTTATGATCCTGCTGCCTCAGCCTCCCGAGCCTCTGGGCTTATAGGCATGTGCCACCGTGCCTAACCCCTGGAAGTTTTAACAGGCAAGGTTTTTTAGATCATTGAGACAGAATTGACTTTCTTTTAACTTGCACCACATCCTGATTTGACTAAGTATCTGCAGAATAAGCTTCAAAGATCTCAAGACAGCTCTCTCCATATAGGCTCTCCTGCCCTCAAGCCATCATCTCCTACATCTGGTGTTTCTGCTCCGGTAATGAGAAAGGGGGCTCAGAATGGAAGGTGCTACTCTGTGATTGGCTATGGCAATGCTGAGGGCTTTCTCACCTTTCTAGTTTTGAAACTTGCCGTGGTCTTCCTACAGTCCATGATCCTGCAAGCTTTGGTTCACGAGCTGGGGGGCCCCATGTTGTCCTCACAATCTGCCAGACTCCAGGCCCCTGTGTCTTCCTTAGTTAATGGCTGGCAAACACTGTCTCATCTAACCAGTGGGGTTTATATTCTTCTTTTTTTGCAGAGGGTACTCAGGATTGAGCCAAGGGACATTTTAGCACTAAGGTTCATCTCCAGTCCTTTTTATATTTTATTTTGAGACAGGGTTTTGCTATTCTAAGAGGTTTCACTAAGTCACTGTTGCTGACCTTGAACTTGCAATCTTCTTACCTCAGCCTCCCTAATAGCTGGAATTATAGGGTGTGCCACTGCACCCTACAAGTTTATATTTTTTAACTATTTTTTTTGTGTGTGCAAAATTTCAGTAGAAATAAGAATTCTCATTTATCCATCACCCAGCTCTAATAATTACAGATACATAATACATTTTGTTACATTCTGTAGCCCCATACACCCTGCCCACACTTTTTTTCTTTTATTAGTGCATAATAGTCGGGATAATTTTGACAAGATCATACATACATGGAATTTTTTTTTCATTCATGGAATTTAATTTACTCCATTCAGTCCTCCATGTTTCCCCTTTGCTCCTCCCTCCCCCTAGTCACATGCCTCTTTTCTACTGGTCTTCCTTTCACTCATTTATTTTTGATTGATGCTTTATAGATATACATAAGGTAGAATTGACTGTAGTATATTTTTAAACATGCATATATTTTAATTTTGTTAAAATCATTTTGCTTTTCCTCCTTTTTCCATTCTTTCTCCCTCTCTTTTGATCTCCTTTTTCTACTCCACTGATCTTCCCTGTATCTTTATGATATTGGATCCCAATTCCTTTCCCCCCTTATTTTGCTCTAGCTTCTGCATATAAGAGAAAAATCTGACCCTTGATTTTCTAAATCTGGCTTATTTCATGTAGTATGAGAGTCTCCATTTTATTCACTTACTGCCAAATGCCATAATTTCATTCTTTTTTTATAGCTAAGTAAACTCCATTGTGTATATATACCACATTTCCTTAATACACTCGTCTATTGATGGGCACCTGGGCTGGTTCCGTAACTTGACTATTGTGGATTGTATTGATATAAACATTGATGTGACTTTTATCACTGTAGTATGCTGATTTCTTTTAGACAAATACCAAGGAGTGGGATAGCTGGAGCATGTGGTGGTTCCATCATAGTTTTGGGGGGGAATTGCCATACTGCTTTCCTTCCATACTAATTTCTTGCCCACACTTTTATCTTTGGGGATGTTAGTTTACTGGGCATTGAACCCAGGGGCACTTCACCACTGAGCCACATCCCCAGCCCTTTCAAAAACTTTTTCTTATTTTGAGACAGGGTCTCATCAAATTGCTGAGGCTGGCCTTAAACTTGTGCTACTCCTACCTCAGCCTCTTGAGTCACTGGGATTATAGGCATATGCCAGTGTACCCAGCAATATTTTTATCTTAAAACTTATCATATCACATAATCTCTAAATATTTCAGTTTGTATCTCTAGTTGGCAAGAAATATTAAAAAAAATAAATCATAGTACTATTATCACAAAAACGACAATAATTCCTTCTCATATCAAACATTCAGTGTTCAATAGATAATCTTTTTCCAGATTGATTTTTCAAATCAGGGTCCAAATAAATTCCACATTTTGTACTGGGGAAATATGTCTCTTCATTAAAAAAAAAAAAAAACAACTATAATAGTTCCTTGTCCCTCTTTTTTCTCCCATAGTATTTATTTACTGAAGAAACTGGATACTTTATCTTAGAGAATTTTCTAGATTTTGTTTATTGTATTCCAGTGATTGTATTCCAGTTAACATGTTCCTTCATCCCCTTGGTCATTAAATCTTGAGCCCTGATGAGATTCAAAGACATTCAGTTGGTATGCTATGTACTTCTTATTGTATTATATCAGGAGTATACAATTTATACATAACTTTGTGTGTGTGTGTGTGTGTGTGT